CATCGCCAAACGCAAGCCTCATTATCATAATAAAACTATAATTTTCTATCAATATGCTCTAAGTCATTTTCAAAAGGATTGGTTAACAACTGTCTATAAATAACAACATAATATGTATATACTTCTTTTAAATTGTGACTACCTAGCTCTTACACAGATTTCTGCCGTTTTTGTTCAGCAATTCAGCGTTTTAATAAATAAGTGATATTTAGAAGAAGAAGAAGAAGTTGAGTGCCAATGAAATATGAACTATATTTTTCTAAAATCAGATTTGAAACAAATTCATGTTAAGAAATAATTCCGCTTTTAAACACATGAATGATTTGGGTTAACATTGAAATCAAGATACTATTCCGGAAGTTTTATGCTTTAAAGCATCAGCTACTAAAGTGTTGATTATATTATCAATATTGAACTACGTATTGAACTACGATACAAGTATAAACCCTGCATTACAAGGTTATATAATCATGAGATATTGATTGCATAATTAGATGGGATTAGTTCCCATCCTACGGTCAATTTAAATCACGTGCTTGATTCGATATCGCCCTCTCCGCGGAACTTGTACATGAATAACGTGAACGTCAATGTACTCTTTCAGTATTCAGTAGTGATTTTATGAAACAAGTAGTTACTTCTCAATAAGTTTAATATAACCCATTTGTAGACAAACGTAATATTGTTCACACAATTTAAGGTAAAAATATAAAAACATCTCTAAGGCGTAAATATAAAGTAATCAATTTTGCGATTATTTACAACATATACTTATGTTACAAATAATCGCGAAATTGATTATTATGTATGTTGCTACAAATATATTTATAACCTTAAAAATTCGATCTTATGAAATTTTATGCTGGAGTAAAAATTTGAAGGTAATTGAGGTGTTTATGCGTGTCGAATTATGAAGTACTGCGTGAAAGTAGTTATGTACGTGTGGTGCACGTCATATCTCGTTATCACCATCATAGCAGTGTCAATACTTAGAGTAGGTATACTACTTATAAATGTTTAAAGAGTTTATAAAAATATTATCATCCGAGTAAAAATAAACGGTCAATCAAGTTATCTGCGTGCAGCAGATTAATTCAGAAGTCCGTTATATTTTAATGGCCAAATCTTGAAATGCGGCGTATTCATATGATTTATTTATTCTAATAAAAGTAATAACGAAACATCAAATTTAACTTAGCTTTATATGTATAAAAAGTGAATCAATTTTGTCCGATTAGTTTCTGAGATAGGTATACCAATTTACGAATTCGTTATAAGGGCAATGAAGAACCTTAAAAAGACGTATACAATTTTAATTTATATATATTTATAATTAAACATATAGTAATTTACACAGAAAATATCAAACTGAGAGTCTTTTATATTTTGCCGGTATTTATATTATTTATGATTTTCTTGCTCGGGCTTGTAGGTCTATTGCTTGGTGATTGTTAAACCGGAGGTGGAGGGCTTGATTTCCACCCAGGACAAACAATTTTGAGGTTTTATTTTTCTATAAGTATAATAATTATAATAACTTCACGCATCTCACAAATTCCACGTCAACAAAGTCGCGGGTACCAGCTAGTTTAGGAAATATAAATATGTTTATCAGCAGTCTGGCACAGGATCTGCCTAGTTTGGGTTCAGACTGCCGTGTGTGAGATGTGTGAGGAAGAGTCATGCTTTCGCACACATGGGACAGACTCAACCGGAGTTATACCACGGCCTGACATAAAACCGGTGTTAAGCAGTTCGTAAGTTGTTTTTCTCCGAATGAGTGAAGCTACCGGAACTCAAACTCTCTCCCTCCCCCTGTTTCTAGGGGAGAGAGAGGCAACTCTTGAGTTGCAGATATGCACTTATTATTAGCAGACGCGTCTGCTTGTTTGCCTCCTATCGAATAAAAAAAATCCTAACTAAATAGTATAAATGGAAAAGTGGGTGATTGTTACTCTTTTGCACCTTATCCACTAAATTATTTCACATGAAATTTTATGTCCAATATATGTGTGTAAATGTCATAGGTTACATTAAAAAAAAATAACCTATGGTAACGAGGGTAAAAAAAATGCTTGAGTTATGATTTATAAAATCTTGAACAGGAAAAACTAAACATCTGAAAGTCAAAAACCTGAAGTAACTTTATTACACTCTGGTATTTAACTTCTCAATTAAAATAGTTTGCTTAAATATTAGAAAGTAAAGTTTTTTTTATTTTTCCGCTCAGTCTCACTGGTTTAGATTACAGAGGTGATGGTTAATAGAAAATAACTTACGCTGAAGTTACTATATTGAATGCCACTGCAACTTATTCGGGTTATTTTTGCCAAGAGCTGACCTATTTGAGCCAGACTGAATACTTCAGGTGCGAGCGAGGCAAAGCTATGTCCGAGTATCCCAAATTGTTACGAGGGCTGGTTTCGAATTAAGCGCAATAAGTTTGAGTCCTTACTTCCGAAACCTTCACCTCAAGGTTATAGGGGTAGACTTAGTGCAGAGTAGAATCCTTTTAAAAAAAAGTACCGTAAAATACCGTTACATTTCGGAAGAAGCCATGTTTATTTTGTGATGGCAAGAAGTAAGAACAAATCAAGTGCATAAATATTTATTGTCATTATCCGATGGTTGTATTAACAATAATTATAATTTAGAGATTGCAGGGATGACAAACCTTAAATGAATTTAATATTTATTTAGTATCTTCTTATTATCAAACGATACATATATCATTAATAACAACACAGTACTCAGGCAACGGTATACTAATTAAAAGATCCTAACAACGGCGTACTACATACATAGTATTTGATATCGCTTGCCTTACCTATTGCTTATCGTTACTTATAACAGATACAGTTAAATAGTGAAAGTTCTCCCAAAAAGTTATCAATGGCGTTTAACTGACGCGTGGTGAATCAGACAAATGAGTGGATTAACAATGAACTTGGCGTGTGTTCTTGAGTTTTCTGTGTCACTCGTAACCAATAAATATTATTTTTTATATCAAAATGCATTACTTGCCCAACTTTTTTTTAAATTAATATTTATTAGAATAAAAAGTTTATTTCAAGTATTATGAGCATTTCTATATAGGAATGCTTGGAATACTTAGAAAACATAGATATACAATTGCCATAATTCTAATATATATTCGAATTATGATAATTATATACTTTGTGTGATTCTTTGCAAAAACCTGAAGTCTTAATTATTGTTCCTACTCTTCTTTGTATATGAGAAAGTATCATATATTTGTGGAAAATTCGTTTGTAAAAAGTTTTATCGTTAAATAATTACATTAAATCGCTTTAAAAAATCTCGATTTATTTCTATATCTTCTAGAAATAGATTCAAATCGATGGGTATGCCATGCTTGTAAATGAGAAAATTACCAGTTTTTTAAACATTAATGAAATGTGGTGATAGAGATTGCGAGTAATACATTACCTTTTAATTTAATTCGTTTAAATAAAGTGTATTAATTAACTTCACAGCAAATCCACTATTGCTTAAAAATTGTATCTTCGTGTGCTTCTACATATTAATGTTTGTAATTATATGTTAGTGTATTCCAAATATGATTTGGAATATTTCTCGAAAGGGGAAGTACATATTTGTTTCAATTTGGTACAAAGAATTACCTATATATGTATTTTATAAAAACGATAAAAACTTGTATCGATTAAATACTTCATGTTGTATTCAAACATCCCTTTAGCTATTGAAAAGAATCCTTACCTTATCCTTACCTTATCCTTACCTTATCCTTAACTTATCCTTACCTTATCCTTACCTTATCCTTACCTTATCCTTACCTTATCCTTACCTTATCCTTACCTTATCCTTACCTTATCCTTACCTTATCCTTACCTTATCCTTACCTTATCCTTACCTTATCCTTACCTTATCCTTACCTTATCCTTACCTTATCCTTACCTTATCCTTAGCTTATCCTTACCTTATCCTTACCTTATCCTTACCTTATCCTTACCTTATCCTTACCTTATCCTTACCTTATCCTTACCTTATCCTTACCTTATCCTTACCTTATCCTTACCTTATCCTTACCTTATCCTTACCTTATCCTTACCTTATCCTTACCTTATCCTTACCTTATCCTTACCTTATCCTTACCTTATCCTTACCTTATCCTTAACTTATCCTTACCTTATCCTTAGCTTATCCTTACCTTATCATTACCTTATCATTACTACATTCCCTATCTTACTAGGTAAATGCTTAAAAGTATTAGAATGTTCTAAAGTTTTGGCGTCATTCAGTAACAAACATTTTCAAACGTTTTGAAGAGTTAGAAAAATTTGTGTCTAATTATTATTATTTTTGATAGAGAATATAATTACACTGAGGGCTTGGAATCGATGAGTTAAAACAAATAGGTCCCCACACAAACTTGTACCCCTTTTTATGGGTAGTTTTGAAAAATTAGTAATATAGCTTTTGTAACTTTTAATAAAGAGTATTTACTGTGTTTCAAATCGCTGTTTAAAAATCATTTCCTAGTGTACACCTACGTCACCTAAGGAACATTTTTTGCAAAATTTCAGCAATCTAGACATGGCGGTTTCAGCTGTGCGTTGATCGATCAGTCAGTAAATCAATCTAGCAGTTTCTTTTTTTACGAGTATAGATATGAGCTTGTCAGTAGCATATAGTTAATAAATTAAAAATATGTAATAGATGTTACTGAAAAATTAAGAATTGGCATTAATGTAATTTTATAAAAACTGCAGATTAGCAACCCACTAAATGATGATATGTGTCTTTTGGTAATTGTCATACGTAGTCACTAAGGTAAACGTATATAATTAATGGCAGTGATGTATGTGAAATGTTTGTTCTCTAATAAATTATACGTAACATGCGCATTGATTACAGACCGTCGTCACGACAACGTTGGTGAGAATTTAGCTAATTGGCTATATCTAATAGATAGGCAATAAAATCAATGGGGAGGACATCGGCTGCATCTTCAATTTATGCCGATGTGGATTCGCGATGCGTCGGGTTCCGACGCCGACCCCCGCCACCGGACCTCATATTTATACGCTAAAGCGGGCGCCGCTAAGAGTTCAAACGTGCGTCGGGCGCTCGGAACAGTAGACGATCGAGAGAATCGCAAAGCGTGGGTAGACGAGGGCGAGTGCAGTGTGCAGTGCGTGCGGGTCGTGTGTCGCTGAAAGCTCGCGCCGCGAAGCCTCCGAGAACGGCGGCATCGCGCGAGCGCCCGCTTCACCGCTTCGCGTCAGTGCCGGCCCGGCCGTGCCGAAAGCATCACGTTCCGGACTCTTCGAATATATAATCTAACTGTTAAACTATTTGGACATTGATACACATATTGAATCGACAACTTTCAATTATAACTTGCCTGCGGTCCTAGTGTACGCGAATTTATCTATTGTGAAAGAGTGGTGAGTTCTCCTTTTTTTGTCTTAAAATATATTTTTAATGTTACTTGAAGGAATTAATTGCTTAAAAGAAAATTTAATTTATAAATTTAAAAGAAGTTTCATTCAATTTGTACAAAAAGCGCGCACAAGTTAGGCATCTGAAAACGGCGGCCGCAGAGCTTTTCCGCTGTTCAGGCACAAGAACATATATACACAACGTGAAATGAACGTGAATACCTACAGTTATAAAAAAATATTTAAAATATTTTATCTACAATGCATCTGCATACATCTGAATTTTAGTTATAAGTTATCATATATTCAATTACATACTTTGAACCCTTTAGAGGCATTTAGAGAAAATGTTTGAAATACCAATCATAATTTGCAGCCTAGCAGCATAGCAATATTTAAAAACTTCTTTAAGATGTCGAATTTGTCAAATTTCAGATTAAAAATTACTTACAATCACTATTTGTATGCCTTTTTAAAAACTCTTTAAAAAATTTATTTTAAAATTCATACGCAATTATTTACAAGAACTAATCCATTTTTCTCAGATATATTTAGTGAAAGCATTAGATCCCACCTGTTTGTTTATATATGTATAATTAAATAATTGATGAATAAATAACAAGTCAGTTGGCATAAATTTAAATAAAGGTGAAATAGAATATCGTGAGGGAATCGGATACAGCCGCGTGCCACCACAACGAGCGTGGCGGATTCAATATTTCACAGTCACCACCGCTAATCATTCACGATTGTACTTACAAAGTAGATTGAAATCAAATCAAGCTGTTGATCCATTACCTGCGTATTGTATATGTTGTTCACTTATGGAATGCATATATACATACATATGGTCTTTTTATTAATTTCAATTGTTTTATGTTGCAAAATTGCAAAAAAAATAGGAACACCTTATCCTCATACCTTTAAATTTCTGGAAAGTTCAGCGGCACCTACATTTAGTTCAGGATACGGTAATGAACATTTTATCGCAAATATATTTCAAGTATTGCAGGCGATTCTTACTAAGTACAAATATTTTCTTAGTTACACGGATATAAAATTCCTTTTGTAATTACAGTTTATTTTCAAACCTCAATGGATTCTAACATATCGTTTCTCTGTCTCAAGTGTCACTCCATCCCATTTCTCGTGTTTATCTTACGCTGAATTCGTTGTGGGTTCTAAGCCCCTCGGGGCTCATTCAACAACAAAATTTATTATTCGGGGTCAGTATGTTGCCTTTGCGAATTCCAAGTTATACTGGTTGGAATAATAAAACCACATCAACGGCACTGGGTGGGCCATAAAAACATTTCCAAGTTGTGCCACTACTTTATGCTTACTATTTCATGAAAGTTAAATACCTAAGACTCGGATGAATAATGGCTTTTGTGATTTTAAGAAGGCCCAAGAAATGGCCTCTAATTTTTGAATTGAAACTTTGAAGTATTGTTTGTGTAGGACTTTTTTGGGATAGAACCCGAAAAATGTTGGTTAATTGTATTGGTAAATATGGTGTAGTAATAGTTGGTTTCGGTTCGGTTGATTGCGCTGGCGGGCAGCGCGGGTGGGCCAGGCGCGGCCGCTGTCGAGTTCAAGTGCAGGGTGAAGGTTTCGCGGCTGGCTGTCCGCCGCTGCCGCTACCGCTACCAAACGACGCGCCGCCCGCCCGCCAAGCCGCACTATGGAAAACGGTAGAACAACGGCATATCAAAAATCGTTTCTACTAATATCCTTATTGACGCACTTTTAAAAGTTTATTGAATAGTATAAGAATTTAACTTTAAAATAATATAGTGATTTGGTATGAATAACATTTGGAATAAATATTTTTAATACCACCAAATGTAATTCTTAAGAATATCTATTTCAGGTTTGTACGCTTCAATACTTTAAAATTAATTTATTTCAAAACTTTGTGAATAATTACAAAGTGTTTTACATTTCTAAAAAGTCTATTTTATGTAGATTTTAAATCAATTATAATATTGTAGGTTTAATATTATATTTCTATTAAAAAAATAAGAAGTGAGGGGAAAAAAGATTTTTTTTAACTTCATCGAGGCTTTTGACAGTTACCGACAACTCCCGACACTTTACATTTGATGTTATTTTGTTGTTAAATCTTTAAAATCAGCTGTGGATACGTTTCCAAAGTTATCACGAAAAGTATGATACAAGTCAGGAAACAGAAAACCACTATTGTGGTTTCTATTGTCTAACAATTTAATTGATTAGTTTGAGGTATATTTCATTCAATATTAGTTATTTATTGATAATAGGGTTTTATCTACATTTTCTTTAGCGTTCACACCACCCTCATTTATCAAAATAATATATAAAATATGGCTTCCTTAAATCTCGCAATTACAAATTCGTAATAAATTAAACCGACGTTTGACTGTTTTGTATCTTTGCTGAATTTCAAAATGTCTACTACTTTCAAGTGTACTTTCATACATTTAACTTAAAGCTCTATCAACAGTTTTAAAAGCAAACTACAATGTTTCTGAAGACAACATGTGTTTTATTATCAGTGATATTCAAAGGAATCTTATTCCTCGCTTTAATAGACGCAGATGGGCAGAAACGTCGAGAAAAAAGGATACATTTAAAAAAAGGTACAATTACAAAGTACAAATCTAATTCATGGTGAAAGTATCATTAGGCATTTTGCTGTGCTTCCTATTAGTCAACTTTCAGAAGATGCGCAGGAATGCCTTAATAAGGATTTAAAAAAGAAATCGCCTCCATCATGCCAGGAAGTGCTCTCTACACATCAGATCCATACATTTTTAGCCTTAGAAAAACATATAACAAAAGTGTGAAGGCCCTTGATGTAGATACCCCAGATCTTTTAAAAGAGAAACGTAATTTTATTGGACCCCGAAGTTCACCAAGTACAATTAAGCGTAATGTACACATTATTATACATATTTTTTGTAGTCTATTTTACTTATGAATTAGTATTTTGTAACTTTGAATATTTTATATAATAATTTTTGTAATCATAACTTTAATTACTCATTTAAATTGGTAAGTGGCTTTACAATAAGATAATAACTTTTTGTTCAAAATATAAATAGTCTTGTCTCTAAGAATATAAAATAAAGGTCATTTCTTAAAACTTTCTGTTTTTATCATTTTTTAAATAATACTCTAAAAAAATATAGCATCTGAACTTTACCTGAAGTCTTATAATAATACTCTATGCTTGTGCAAGAATTTAATCTTCTTTCTTGACGAATAAAAAAGTTATCGATTTTTGATCTGAAACAGACCTCGATTTTCCATAATGCGCCAGCCGCATCCGTGCTATTGTTCACTACATAGCCAACAAACTGTACTTTCAGTTCTTAAGTCTGTTTGAAAAAAAAACAGGGCAAATGTTTCAGAGCTGGACTGTAGACTCAGACTCACTTCTCGACGTTACATTAGTCAGTTTGAATATCTATAATCCAAAACTATGTCTAATGTGAAATTAATCAGAATAATATAATAATATATCTATTAGTGTGTAGAATTATTATTTATGTTATTAGCCTCTTTAGTTCAGACGTGACATTAAAAGCGAAATAATACATCCCCATAAAAAAATCATTATTTATTGCAAGGCAATACAATACCGACATAATTTAGTAGTAATAACTTTTAGGACGTATGTTCCTTGAACATGAAAGTAGGAATCAATTTGATATTAAATCATGAGTTCAAGACCGTATCTTTATAATTATTAGCGACATAAATGAAAAAATATGTATGTGTCATCAATTACAAACAAAGTAATGTACACACATACGAACCAAAAAATGGCAAATCAAAGTAAATAGCTGCAATCATTGATGATGGTAGACTCACAAGGCCGACTAGCTTCCGATTCTTTTGTCTTTAAGTATTTCACACTTAGAGCGCGGAAATACGCTTAGTTGACGGGAGCTAAATGGCTGGATGACGTTCTTCCTTTAAATATAGCTAATGGCCATGATGTTAAACTACAGTTTTTTTATCAACAAAAAAGACAATACAAGTGCCTAACACTTTAGTTCATGGATTTTATGTGAATGTCTATACTAATTGCAGGGTACTCAATCACATTACAATCCAAAACTAAGCCAGTGGAATACGAGTTACGGTAATTCTTCTGAACCATGCCGAGTCATAGCCGTTATATAAATGCCAGCCATAAAATTAAGCAACGTTAAAAGTTAGCGTCGTCTTCGGCGACTCCAGTGACTTCGCATTAATGAAAGCGCGCGTCAATATGCGCGCGCGCAGTCCCGGCGTGACAGAATGCGCTCGCGGTGCGGCGGCGTCCGTCGTCAGAGCTGCGTGCCATGCGACGTCGCTGCTTCCTGAGAAAATGGCAACTTATGGGGAATTGAATCTGGGCCTCGCTGGTGCCAATGACCCCCACAACATGTCACACTCGACGCACATGTGTTGCCATTCACATTTAATATTTACCCACATACCTCCCTTTATATAGGTTTATAGTCTCATAACAATCGAAAGCCACAATAGAGCAAAATGACCCATAGTTTAATGTAAAGGACTGTAAAGGATTGATGCTGTAGGACGATTCTCACTAAACACACTTTTCACTTTAAATTATGTATGTACCACTAGTATATGTATACCCCATATACTCGTATATGTAACACGCGATACTGAGACACGAAAATGATGCAATCATAAGTAAGACAATGTAGTATGTCAATAGCACGGTAGTTTGGTAGATGATATCAAAACTTGGCAGGTCGCGCGAGTATGTCCGTGAAGTAGTCAAGTCGCCTCCACCAGTCACAGTGTAGGAGCTGAAACCGTTAGCAGACCACAAAAATGTCGCAAAAAAGCTAGTAAACCGTTTCTGTTTCACTTGTTATATTGTAATTTTGTGACGTGACTTTATTTCATGGTATATTTAATAGGATTTATTGACAATAGATAGCTCTCGTGTACTATTATGTAATAAGTGAAGCGTAAAGCTCGTGATTATGTTCATTGTTAAAATCATGGCAAGATATTCTTCTATAATGATTTTGACCAAAGTAAATTCCTTTTTGCCTTTGCCAACAAACGAATGTGATTAAAGAATTATAGCGAAAAAAATTAAGTAGGTACTAATTCCGATATAACTTTCAAAATTATCACAATTCTACTAAACGAAATGGTACAAAGGATTTCTTGTACATAAAGCAGTGTAGGATAGCTATTGGTTTCCGATAAACGTAGCATTGATATAAGTGAATAAGAACCTTGCTTCGAGTCGCCGTCTGAATGTCAATATCAGAATATAGCCAAGCGGCCATGGCGGTCATAATGACCGATAGAGGGGAAACATTCGAATATGGCCTTACACTAACTCTCTTTAAAATTCACATTTGATGGCATCACATTGCTTGCAGCTCGCTGCCAACAAAAGGAATGTAGGTTATGATGTTATTTAGTCCAATTTTTTGCCGGCTCAAGTTTTTATTAGTTACAATAGCTAATAGTTATCCCTTTGCATGCCAATCAATCTCATATAAGGCATGAAAGTATTGGCGTCACTGTGCTTATGCTGTTCAATATGGAGTTACCTACAGCCATTTCAACGAGATCATGCCTTTTACACTCTACCACTTGCTATGAATTTGCGAACGATATACTAAGATCACGTAAATTTATTTATTTATTTATTTATTTATTTTCTTTAAAAACAACTATTTTTACAGGCTTAGCCCAATGCAATAGTGTTATACCATCTACTTATTTATTATAAGAAATAATTCTTAATGCTGTTATTGTGAATTCACTCGGAATGTTTCCGCTCTATCGGTCATTATGACCGCCATGGCCGCTTGGCTATATTCTGATATTGACATTCAGACGGCGACTCGAAGCAAGGTTCTTAATAAATGTTTGGTACTGGTCGAGCAACAATGTTTTAATTGCTGTTGGGTTGCAATTTCATTATAGAAATAAAAATAAAAAAAAACCTAAGAACTGTCCTGAAACAGATGCTCCATAAATAAAATATATGTGGTATTATGAATTTATTTTCTGCAGGTCTAAGAAAATAAATTGAATGAGAAATTTATTGAATGTGATTTACAACTACGCAAAAAAGTCTTCTGAGCTCATGCTTTGTCCAGCAGACATATTAAAATGCTGTAACAATAACGAATGATAACTTTGATTTCAAAGAATGTCATTCCCATTCGCTCTCCAGGTGTAGCTATAAAGTTCATATAAACAATAAAGAATACACTAGACGTATAATAGTGACAAATTATATAACTAAAAGGAAATTTATAGTTTCGATTTACCAAGTAGGTCTCGGTTAAAGCATTGCATTAGTTACCTTCCCTAAAGAGTGTCTGCGCGGTACCCACGCTCATAGCACCCACACTCTAAATAACAAGACAAACAGACATGTCCACTTTACCATTTACCTAGTAAAAATTCTCATGTTATGTTTGAATAGGTCTTTAACAATTAGTATTTGTACCGACCTATCGTATGCCTACGATGTTGATTGTTAACTGGGGTATATTTAGTCGGACAGTTATTTTCTTTATAAAACTATAGTGTCGAGAACGTAGCTAAACGTGTAAAACTATGCAATATCGACGATCGAGAGTCGACTTTTTATATTCAAACTTCGATGTGTACTTTTCATACGATTTAAGAATTTTATAATTAAAAAAGAACTAATAACTTTCTCGAGAACACATAACATTAAACACGGTATTGACAGTCAAGTAAAATTTTGAAACCTCTCCACTCAAGGAATGTCTTTCAAATTTAAATTGTTCCAAAGAACGTTTTCCTGTTTTCATCATCAACAGCCTTTAATAGTCCACTGCTGAACATAGGCCTCTCGTTAGAAAGGAGGTTTTGACCTACTATACCACGCTGGTCAGTCGGGTTGGTATAGGGTTTGTGTCAAGTTTTCCTTCTTTTTGCAGTGCTGGTGTCCCGCGTTGTTTTGGGCCCTTAGTCGGCTTTTACGCCACCCACGGGATGAATGACATTCTGTATTCTTAATCCGTCACTACACGTCCTGTTTTCATGATCAATAAATAAGTTTATTTTCATACTTTTTAATTTGATTATGATGTTGATTTCGACTTGCGCTAATTTTGCACGAGTTGTCAGTGAACGTTTCGAAGGAGTTCAGCGTTGTCGAAACAGGCATGAAAAATAATAATGACGCAATTATAAGCAGTATCTACATTTTTACGCTAATAAAAAGGCTGAGGTAACACTTCATAATGTTCAGGTTGTTTTATGGTGCGGAACGTGCGATGTCATTGTCCTACGAGTGACTAAGGCGCATGCACCTCCACCGCGGTCCGCCGCCGCCGACGCCACCAGTGTCGACTCTCGAGCGCCTCTGAGCGCCTTAGCTTTTACACATTTTTATATGTTTAGCATAGAGCCGTTACGTTTTTATTGTTCACCAACATTTTCCCGCGGTTTACTTATTCTCGGAATACACTAATCATGATTTTTTCATACTTACAGAAAAAGCTTATACTTTTTATACGGTGTTTACGATCTTGCTAATTTACCTAACAAGTTTTTGTTAGTATCGATAAGTGGTTGTAAATTTATTGTTGAAACGGCTCAGTAAATAAATTTGATTGCATATCACTCCTTGAGTGGCAAGCGACTCTTGAACTGTTTAGCAGAACCCTTTATTCCGGGAACTTACCTTCAGATTCTGTACGTAAAAAAATTCCTACGTTCTCCATTATTATCTATTAACCTGAGAAAAATGCAACCTTTTGTTAACACCTTCTTTGTAACTTTCTTAGTGTTTTGATTTTAAAATGACAAATTTATAAAGGTTTGTCTGTTAATGTTTGCGGTCGCGTTTATCATAGTTGTCGTCAAGCTTATTTATTTACTCAGATCCGTGTCTATGCGTTCAAATAATCATTAGCTGATTAGGTTTAATTTGTGGCGTAGTAGGTACTTCCTTCTTCATGGCGCTTCCCTGAATATGCTTTTAAACATTCGTGCGCCGACATCTTCACCTTGAAGAAACATAGGCAGTTTTTTCTCGACTGTTTTTTCTAAGTTAATAATGATAATTTTTAGAAGTATTCATTCAATATCTTCATGCTCAAGCTAATCACGAACGTTGCTGTTCTTACAAGTAGTGAAAAAAAAATCGTGTCTGATGGCGATTATGGAACTTTGATAACTATAGGACTGACGTAATCCTTTATATGCTTCCTTGCTATGATTTTATTTACATTTGAAGCTCATCCATCATTCAACGTTATAATTAAAAAATATAAATGTTACAACCACCAAATATATTTGTTTTCTTAACAAAATAAATATCTTGCAATTTAGTTTTGGTTTATTTCAAATATTATTGTTTGCAATTAATATTTTATGATAGATGTGTATAAAGATACGTTATAAAATATCTCGATTTTTTTTTCTTAATTCAACACACTTAAAGAATATTATTTCGCCACTTTAGAATGTCAAGGGGTCAATAAAAGTTCGGCTCGAAATAATTGAGATGGACAGTGACGGGGCAATACACTCGTTGAGGTTCACTCATTGCATTGCGATAAATTGCAACACAAAATATAATCAAATAAATCTTTTACAAAACTTTTATCAAACTATTTACCAAATAGTAAAATGGAATAATAGAAATTACATCTTCTTAAGATATTTTTTTTCTTAAAAACAATATGTCTAAACAGAAAAAGCACATTAATTCAATTAGTACAAGTTTTTTTATTTGAGTTTCATAAATTACACTTATTACACCTAAATGTACACCGCTTCGAAAAGTGGTTATCTTTAAACGGCGGTATTGCCATAACGGTAGAAAATCACCTCAATTTCGGACCCGTATACTGCATAAAGTATAAGTAAAACAAGCTAATTTCCTGCATCAGACTGCCTTATTTCGTGATCTCTAGATATTGCCCGTTTTAAATAAGCCTTTTTATTATTCTCAGTAACATTATGCTTTTGTGTCATTGTTAACTTTGACTTTTTATATACCTGCCTGCAATGCTATTTAAAATTGCCAGATTAAAGTAACTTCAATTTAACAGCTATTCTGAGACTATTTGATCGATATATCTATTGTTAAATGATGCTTTAAAGCAAATGTTTGCAACAATAAAATCAAATTTGTAATGCAACACTCAGGGTATGTGTACGACTTTCATGTTGTAGTTTCTATTCATTTTGTAACATTTATACTAAAATTAAACATTTTACACAAAAGATAACATTAAGATGTACGAGGAACATTAGATATTTAATAAGTTGGAAAGAACCAGAACCAGAAGTCATTAGGAAACAGTGAGAAAAATTTAAAATTAATAACGAATTTTCAATGATCAATGTTTTCCGTTAGTGAAAGAAGGATGACGATGTTTAACCAGCGACCGCCGCCATTGTGGCTCCCACTTACTAAATCAATATTTGCACAGATGTCGGCGCAAGAGCATGCTATGCTTCTACCGACCTAAAATTCATACAGCTTATATGGCAATGTTAGCGGTAAATTTTCTCGGCAGCTACTTGTAATCCTTCAAATGTGGGTCGGTGCCGCACGCATTGTTTGACCCCGGCCGTGCTATGCTGAAGGGTAATTCATTCGAATTGATCGCGCATCTCAATAAGCTTATACATCAGTAGAATGACAAACAACATGTCTTTATATATTGGATTCTAGGATATTAGCCTTATTACGATTTCGAGCAAAAACTGTTACTCAGTGCATAGTATGATACGTTTTCATTCGCTCTGATAGAATATTTAGCTTTCAATCAAACGTAATTATTACTTGCATTTTTAATCTAATATATTTATATAATTATCCTAAGCGCAAAAACGAAGCGAGGGTCATAGTCTGCTTGCCACTGCTACTTTTTTTTCTTCCATAGTCGTTTCCATGTGAAAATGAACAGCATAATTTTCTAAACGATTATCACGCTTCCCCTGTAATATGATAATACGTTGTATAAATATTTAATGTCTAGGGCTCTGTATTATCGTTTTTGCGCAATAACCAGTAACCAGTAACCTGTACAATGTAGTTCCATGGAGAGAACAGGAGCCCTATAGCTATTATTGTTATTTTTGTAGTCAGCTCTGTTCACGTTAAGTAAGTTTATGCAAGTGCATTCCTGGCACTTAATAAACGTATTGCGTGGAATTCTCACGTAAAGTAACTCTTGATGTATAACAATATCAGTTTTTGTACACATATGAAGCGTGAATAACTATGAACTACATACAAATATGTTGGAGTTATATTTTAATAGTCGTCAATTGTCCTTTCCAATTAAAGAGCTATCGGAACCACCTATAGATTTTAAGTTTTTCTACGTATCTGCGCTTGCTCGTTTAGAACTAAATTTTGACTTCGGCTTGTAGGTAAGTGCTTACCATTCCTTACATAGAGATATGGCCGTAATGACTCGCTGTTCGGTCAGTTATCGGCCAGACGCTCGTAAACACTGTTCGACACGAAGTATTCGAACATGGCTGCGAATACAAGTCAATAGACATCATGCCGAGGGCGCTTACTTCCCGGTAAGGGTACATAACTGTTATAGTCTACACAGTAATAGTGTCCACACGCCCCAGACAACGATGTCATAACAGTTTTGCTGAATTTAATTATATCCACACATAAAAAGAGAATGGGGCTCAAAGGTCACTGATTTACCGGGCAATGAGATACACATGGTTTCCTCGTATGCGCTAGGGGTGTGCGAGTGGTACGGGTCAGCGGTCGCCCTAATACCTTGTGTCAGAGAGCGGGTGGGTCCCACAAGACGCGCATACTAGCGCTTGTGGGGTTAGCACGCGCATTACGCACGTACTTTCTGTAGGGTGGCTTAATACATCAGTCAAAATTTCATTAGATGTCATTCTAAACTCTCTATGTTTTTAAGGGTCATAGTTTGCTAGAAAATGCATGTTTTAAATATAAAACAAAGATGTAGTGCATAGTTAGAGGTATCAGTAAACGAAAACCTGGAACACACTCTGTAGTAGAGTCATAGCTAAGTAAGCAGCAAGCAACGCACGGGGGCAACGCTCATCGTGTGAGCGACGCGGCCGCGGACCAACAATCGCGAATTCAAGCTATGCCTAGCAACAGCACTCACACTAACGGTCGCTTTCTTCGAGCACACAGACATACACTTCTTATGAGTTTTAAGCTTTGATGGTCTTTGTGACATTAAAAGTGAGCTTTTACGCGTAGGATAAACTTTATGACCACATTTTTCAGTTAAGCGGAGCACCGATGCAAAATTACGAGGACATTGACAGAAAAACACAGATGAATAAGAAAAGAGTTGGAGTATTGTTAATCGAAACAAAACAACAACATATTAGGGAAATAAAATAGTTTAAATCAACTCGCATTTGGCATTTATAAAGCGATGTTAATGGATAACGGTGAAGAAGACGTCTTGAGGATTTATTTACTTAAATTATTCATATTCTACATTAGCAATGCGTGCTTGCCTTTGCAAATAATTCCATTTTATACAAAAATAATTACTCTTTTCATCTTGAAGCAAGTTTTTAATTCTGAGTGATATGTTAAAACGGTTTTACCTACCTACTTGTTAGTAAACCTACCTATACCTCTCGCATTTATAATGATAATGTAATTTAGAAATGAGTATATTTTGTTATACATGAGCCTGCCTATTGCCGGTAATACAAAATGTATTTTTAAATGAAAGAAACATCCTTTATTGTTTTCATAACGTTGTTATTAAGTGCTCAAAATATGCATCTACATCTTTACTTTTGATGAAGCAGATAGTGTATTTATAGTTATGTATGTAGTTCATGGCACAAAATTTGCACGGGTCAACGAACGCGGGTACCTCATGAAGGAAACTAATATTTGTTATCTTCCTACCCGTCCCCTTGAGGCGCGCGAACCCTGCCACGTCGCGTTACTTCCACACGGTGCTCCCACTTTCATGAAGAGGATCGACCTCTTCTGTTTCATCTATTATAATCAACCCGTTTTATTATGTCATAGGCATGTAAGTGGAGTGTAATGATAAAATCTGAAAAACACGGCGCGTACTCTTATCGTGGGCATAAAATAATTGCCATAAACGAGCTGGTCTACGTTACATATATCTGGTATGCATCATGAACATGCAGTGACTACTTAGTATGTATGTACCTACCCACGTCTGCCGTTAATCGACCGCTTCAGTTCAGTGACAATTATCGCCTAATAATGACGTCGTGTTGCCTTGTAGCCGAATCTAATAATGTCGCACCGCATCGCACCATGTCCACGACTTCTATGCTAATCACTTGTTATTTACGACGACCGATAATCGCGACACGCGTACGTGAGCGCATTGTGCGAACAGCGCGCGTGATGTTTCACTAAACTGCTTTGCGAATATGTGGCTGCGCTTACACTTGTACAGCTATGAGAACTTACCGATTGATACGATTACATCCCAATATAGCTTAGTACATGCTAAGTAAGGTTTCAAGATTACTACCTTAACAAAGAATATAAAAGCGATATAAGAACGCGCACTCTATCGCGGAGGAGGCGGGAGTGCTCCGTGACTCCATGCCCTCCTGCCGGGTGAGCCGCCGGTCATCGCGTCTCACATCTAGTAAGCTGCCTTCAAGCAACCTATTCAGATCTAGCCGTAAATTTAATATCTACAAATATAAAACTATTTGATATTTAATTCGTTAATCATATTGGCATAATAGAAAATCTTGAGTTGGATTTTTCTTTTGGTGTCTTGGCGTAAATTTGTAGTTAAGTTAGCATGCGATCGTGAGGTCCTTGGATTCGAGTTTTGAGAGAGGTAGATTATTATTAAGTATTTTTGTTCAAACATTCGTAGGACCAGTAGCAACACGGACGCTGGAGAAGTTTCAGAGAGATGACAAAAATCTTCGCTCTTATTTACACAGGGCCACTACATTAGCCATTAATAATAAATAATTTGGCCCGTGGGGAATCTTCATATTAAAAAAAAACTTCCTTATTTTTTTCTAGTGTGTATTACATCAATAAAAAGTTTGAATAATAAATAAACTTTACAAATTTTTCACACAGCAATATAAACAAAATTATATCAAGTTCACATTAGCATTTTAAGCATAAATAATAGCACTAAGCAGGAGTTCTAAAATAAGAGCAGTTGTTCAATGATCAAAAGATTGGTGTCAATGCTCGCTGCGGTTACAGTGTTCCGAAATTATGTGTTGGGCAACATCGCAACACGGACAAGCCGAGGCGCGGGCGCGCAGACTGGCCACCGACCCGCGCCTCCCGCGTCCGACCTCCCAGCGCCCGATACGCCCTTCTGATTCAATCGTTTCACTTATTTACCAAGTTAGTAATTGAAATAAAGCCCTTCTATATCTTTTATTTTCAAATTTGTCTATACTGGTTCAGATATTAAAACTACAATAAGTAAGATGACAACAGAAATGTGTACTACACTTGAAGATACTTTCTAACTGTATATAAATACTTTCTTTAAGTGTTTTCAAAGCAGTAAGTACGCAATTCATAAGCAGTTCCCTAGTCTACAGTATACGTGCGTAGCGCCTCGTAGCTCTCAGCATTTGTGTAGTTAAGTGTTTTGATCAATGACGACGACACGACACAACTCGTCTCAGGCTCTACAGTTATGAGCTCACAAAAGCAATTAAGTGCGCCACATATTTTGTGGCTTTCCATTTGAGTGCGTTTTAAATTCAGGTTTATTTTAATCGTATTAACTGTTATTTTTGACGTCACGTTTGCTGGAAAAAAACGGTACGCCAAATTACTCTTGAGAAGTAGGTTCCTATTGTGTGTTCCGGAAGATTTGGAGCTCCCCTACTCGAACATTTATAAACACAACATCAGTCATTATCGCCTTAATTATTGCGGCACTTACATATATTATAACCACGGCAGAGATAATTGTTTGTTTTGCTATAACATTGTGAGTAAGTCGGGATAAATACGGCAAAAGAAATATCAACTCGACATTTTGAATAGCTCTCAATGTCCCCAAACACGTGGTGTTTTAGTATAGCAAATAAATAGATAGTGGTGAGCTCTCCGCACCCTCACCCTCTTAACGTAGGTGACTTGCATAGAGTGTCTAGACGAAGGGACCCCTGCAATAACAATTTATATTATACGTATAGAGATTTACTCACAGTTTACTAACAGTCTATTTATATAATAATTTTTGAAAGTAAAGTTATGGTAACTTTTTATGAAAACCTTTACAAGGTTTACATAGGGTGTACAAAGATGTGTTAGTAGCTATAATGTAAGAGGTACTCAACAGTAGATGTAGTACGTACCTCAAGCGTGTATTTGTGACGTATTCTTGCAAGTGAAAATACAGAAACATCCCCTACGAGTGTCGCCAGAGGTAAAGGAGGTTGTTGAAGAATGCTTGCGATACGTAACGAGCAGATATGTAGAGGTATGTGCATGTGCAGGTGCATGTGCAGAACTTGAGGGCGGGGATGCTTTCCCACGGTAATGCGCGCCTTACGCTCCTCAGTTTGGAGTTACACTAATTTACTCCAGTGCTGTGTATTCCCTTAGTTATGCATTCGAAATATTTATTATGGAGTGCTGTTCATTGGTTTACTTACATGGTGTTAAGGTAAGTAAATGCTGACACACAGAGGTACTTAGAATGTCTGTGGTATTTAACCAAAGTATGTTTACAGAAACTTACCAGTATTTAATATAAACAACAGTGTTTAGGAATGTATGCATGTTTCATTAAAACCCTTTAAAACTGCCCGCTGCCAACATTGTTTAGAATTGCTGTAGTTCCAGCCAGTCTGAATGGATAGTTAAAGTTCCCATTCACTCACAAGCAAATGGGCAAATTTTTGTGCGAACCTCACGTTTCCGGGGTCTTTAGCCTGTTAGATGAAGTACACCATTTAGAAATACTATGTTATGCTCCTTTCACGTTAAGATAAGTTTAAGATATTTACATTCTCCAAATGAACATGCACGCCATTTTCAATAAGCTTTTCTCGGATAGAAGTTATTTTATGCAGTTCATTACTTTAATTTATCATTATCATCTTAATCTCGTTTCTCGTAATCAGGGGTTAGTAATTTCATATCGATATATATATTGTCCGTTTGTGGACGGAAACATGACAATTCTATAATATATTAGCAATTACTTTCCTGTTATCTTTGTATTTATACTGTCGCTAAACCATTATTGTATGAACCTACATAATGGCCTCTCCAACGAAAAGCTCTTTCAGTGATGTTAAATAAGTCAAATCTGCCTGAATTGTTTACATCATCGTCGTTTTACGGAGAGACCGTGTTATGGCAATAAGATAATTGTTTTTTTCCGGATCATTAGACGTCTTTTGCGCCGGCTGTTACCTCGTTCTTTTAAAATATAATAATGTTTTTAACTATGGGAAACTGTTTTTGTGAGCTTGATTCTTTCAAAGATTTTGCATACTCTAACTAAATATTAGTTACCGTATCATCATTTAGGTAACGCTATTTATTCATAGTACCTACATCTTAGTCATCATTCCTGTTTGGAAAATGATTAATCGACCGAAAAACAGAATGACCTAAGTAAAGCAAATAATTTAATTCAACTGAATCGTACAAGTTGGAATAGCAATTATTACTTGATTAAATAAAATCCATATGGCATTGTAGATAATACGTCAGTAAAGCCACCATGAACAGTTGCTGCATGCAAATTGCTGTTTTCATTCGAAGTGGTCTGATCAAACTTCATTTAAGAATTTCAAGCTTGCTACTTCTTAAATTGTATTATTTTAAGTACCCAAATTTTTAATTGTAACTATCAAGTGTTAAAATTCAATTCTAGCTCACATTTGTTTTTTTTTATTTTCTTTGTATTTCTTCTAAGACAAGAAAGTAGCGCACTTTCCGACTGATGTGGTAACTTACAATGTCGATGGTGTCACTTGCACACAATACTTTCCAAGTCATGGACCTTATCGACTTTATTTACGAGCAGGAAAAACGTTTTTCTATACAGTACGGAATTCTCTCAGTCAGCAGCTTGTATTTAAGAATATCTGCTTTATTTTATAAAATTCATTATTCTTTCATTGATTTGTTTATATTTATCATATTAAATCATAGAGTCCTATAATATTCAATTTTCCATTGTTGCAGACGGAAGGAGTCAGATGGATCAGCGCGCGGCGGGAGCGCTGCTAGCGCTGGCCGCGTGCTTCGCGTGCACAGCTGCAGGTAAGGTCTTCTCTCCTCTTCTAAATCTTCTAATCTAAATTTTCCCAAAAGTTGGCCTTTGCTGTCCCAAAACTTCTTCTTGAGGTAATCGAAAAGAATAAAAAAATAATTCATATCCAAACGTAATATAAGCAAACGTTTCAATCTGTCTACCAATATTTTTTTGTGTATAACTTGGTGTATTAGTAATAATATGATATACGCTTTTGTACAAATCATAAAACAATTATTGTCCATTACTTCATTTTTCCATGTCTCCAAAAAATAATAGACACAGTTTTTTTTAACACAGTCCTATGGCAAAGAACACGTTCCTTATATGATATTCAATAATATACACTGACACTATATGACGCAAAGGACAAGTTTCGTAAATACCTACTGAGTAAAAGTTGCAACGAAATCGTTTATATACCAAACTGTAAATATAACTTATAGGTACCTAAAAATATTTCTTATTATCAACATGCATGAATATAAATTCAAATAACCTTAAGTAATATTTATAGAATATATTTTATCGATTACGACATCGTATGCTACTGGGAACACACATTCCAGAAGATGATTATGGATTTTGTTTGTATTGTACTAATTCTTATTTATGTCGTATTGGCGGTGTGGGAAAACTTGTGTGTTTTCTCACTCCAAAATCAAATCAAGTCTTGAAAATCAATCAAGAATAGTATTCAACAACTTTGCAAGACAAAGTTTAATCAATTCTTCTAATGAATATGTATATTATTATCAATCCTAGAAAAATAATATAAAAAATAATTATTTACATTTGGGTACCCACGTTACGTTACGTTAGGTTGTGTAGCATCGCATAAAATGCTTTATCTGATCTATGAAACCAATTCGAAGATTATTGATCTTTACCAATAAATCTATACATTTCATTTACACATGCAATTATTTCTGGTATATAAACCACAGCAAACCATACTATAAATGATTTGAACTTAAACATTTATCCATATTCTGAGAAGGAGTAGCTAAAAAAATCATAAATCTTTTTCTATGCATCCTGTTATATAAGATATCTTCGTAGGATAAGTTACGTGCAACCATTTCTTTCTTTACTTGCAAATAACAGTACAAAGGTCTGCCTTACGATGCATGTTATTAGATGACGCTATTTTGGTCCGGGCAGATTTGGTATCCGCAGCACGGTCCCTTCAAAGAATTCAAATTGAATTTATGTTATACATAGGAAGTATATTTAAATGCGAACTACAATGTTTAGGACTACCCGTGTGAACTTCATCACGCATGGCGACCACGCCAACATTCATTCATTGAAACATCAATCCATATTAATGTAGTGCAAATTTTAAATTCATGCTGGCTCCTCATTTCGATTGCTGCGACCTGTGTTCCTAAGCGCACGATTTTGCATTAAATAGTTTTTTTTCTTCGTGCACAGCCATTTATAACGTCACACTTATACGTTAAAGCGATTCATTAGGAATCTCGGGAATTAGAAATGCCGTGTCACGTACACGAAAACTCGGGTATGATTCGGTACTTGTTATTCAGTTTGGCTACTTGGAATTTGAACATTTTATCGCGCACCGACACCTACTTGCTTTACGTGGGACTAACCCACTTAGTTCATTTCATTTTGAGATTTCAACAAATCATTACATTTGTACAGTGGAAAATAAAATCAAAGCCAAATGCAGCCGTTACCCATGAGTTCTGTTGTTTTTATGATTAATATCAATCGTGAGAGTGTAAATAGAAATAATAATATCATTGAAATTACGGTTGGCAAAAACTAGATGCTAACGACATTCCTGGTGACCGTTAGGTGGACGATCTGGCTGCGGCGCCAGCGCAGCGCACCCGCCATATACAGGCGCGCCGAGACCGCGGCACCGTTACCTACCGCCACTGCCGCTGATAAACTCAACATGCACTGCATTAATGGCCATCATCAAATAAATAAAGCAACTTTTACTTATTTAAAACTGGCTGTGAATTAAAATATTTACATTGATATATCTTTAAATATCCGTGCCGAAGTTAGTCAAGGTTCGCTAGTTTTTTGTGTTCTCGGTCTTTATAGAAATTGCAAATCCATATTTTGAATATTTATTATTATTTTAATATTGTTATAAAGTGTGACTCGTATACCTTTCGCATACGCATAGATTCGCATGTCTTGTGCTATTACTGTTACATTAATGATTACATTGGTACAAAGCACATCGACTGATACATTGACTGACTGCACGGTTGGTTTAAGCGGTTACCTCGCCGATTCCTGTTGCGCTGAGTGTTGTGGGTTCATCCCCACATGGGACATATGTAACGTTGTGTGACACACAAATTGTTGTTCTGAGTCTGGGTGTTCTTTGTGTCCTTTTCATGTATGTTTGTAAAGTCCCCGCGACACAGGATATATACCTAATGCGGAATTTGTCTTTTAAAAAATAATAATTGTAGACAATTTTAAAGATTCTATATTGCATTAGTGTGATGTTGCGCTTAATACGGCTGAGAGAAAAGTCGCGGTTTTGATGTTAACGACGCTCTCCGTTAGTTTAATTACAGCTTTGTCGCCTCGCCGCCCAGCTTCAGTAATTATACGCAGTAAAACGGATATGTAAAACGGCTTTAAGACGATGACCGATCACGGGTCTCGAACGATTTGCAGCTAATATCCTGCCCAGCTGTAACGTGTTTAATAAGTCAGTCGTAAAACAGCAGTAAAACATTCTCAGAACACTCTCTGGCTTAAATGCCTGTATCGATATTTTTCTCTTTAAAAGAATTGATGCTTGACAAAAATAATAACTTTTTAAAAACCAAACGACAATGTCAGTTTAAACTTAACTTTTGTTCACTTTGATTGACCGAACGATGGTAGTAAATCAATCAAAATTATCAAAGTATTAAAGTGTCAAGTATGGACTTGAAAATTTAAAACTTATAACTACAACAAATGTAACTAAAAGATTTACAATAATGGTTTACATTAGACACGTGAAATGAGATTGCTTTGTAACATGGGTCACTATAAGTTGACATGACATTGAAAATGATTGAAGAAAAAGTATATAATCCGGTAAAATGCAAGCGGAACATATTTTACACGAGCTGCTTCACCGTACAATCCGATAAGAGCACAACGACAATAAAAACCAATAAATAAAAATTAATTAACATTTTTACACAATTTCGTATAAATCTTAACGTATGTTTCTTTGATTTTTTCAGCTCCAACAGCAGGCAATCATACAGCTTTAGATTTATATGAAGGTATGTAATTCCATGAAGCCAAAATAAAGTCTCAATAATTCACTACTACTTTGATTTCATGAAATAGGATATTTTACCACATGTGTGTTGTAACAACACTTTAACATAATTTCAGGGACGTCAGATGGTTGTTACTACAACTTCCAGCATTATGGCGAAGGAGATAGGATCATGACTAACGAGCCTTGCCTCAACTGCACTTGTCACAACAGGATGCTAATGTGTTACTTAAGAGTATGTCCTTTCACAAAGCCTATAGGACAGGATTGCACAGTTGAAAAACGTGCTGACCAATGCTGTCCAATCGTGACGTGCCCAGACGGTAAGTTAATACGAGTACTTGTTATTTGACCCAACTCGTGAGGTATTACTGTGAACATTACCGAAAAACACCGCACCCGTTAAGCCTGATTAGCGCCTAGTTTGAGTTATAAATTATTTGAAAAGCGATAGCGGCAAGTACGGCCGAAGTTCACGATATCTTCGTTAATAATGGATTAACTAATAAACTAGACGAATAGGGCATAACTAAATAGGCATTTTCTATAAAAAAAATAGTCAGCTAGTATTACTAATCTATTACCGGCGGAATACATAACCTCTAAAAAAATTTCACATTAAAATTTATTAAAGTGCTGTTGACTGAGGAAGCTTAGTAGAATCGCTCTGATTTTGATTTTTTACATAAGTATAACAATATTGGATCGTAAAGTACAAAGCTCTTTTCACTAAATACTCGTAATTTAACTCATATTATAAAAATTAAATGTTTTAAAAGAATAACCCAAAAATCGTTTTAAGTAGTTTACGTCATTGTAAAATAAGTTGACAAATTTTCCTTCTTATATTTACAACGTCCTTAAAATAATCTTAAAAAAAAAAAAAACAGCTCACTCTTTTTATGAAATATGATTTAAAAAAAAACAATCGTAAGAACGGTAGATTTTGTTTTCTAAATTTTTTTACTTAGATTTTCAGATCCATTGAATTTTATAGCGTAAATTAAGTAAAAAATAAGGTCATATTATACTCGTATTAAAAATTAAAATTGTAATCAACAACTTTTTTAAATTTTGACAATTTTTAGAGCTACCGGTTTTGTCCAGTAAATATTAAATTTTGTAGAAATATTCTTCAAGTGAAACATGTTATTTTAAAAATGTTTTCAGTGCCAGTTGACTTGCTCACTTCTACGTCGACTTCATCTCCTGCCGAATATGGTGCAACTGGACTCGGTAAACTGGACAAATACGGTTGCAGTATCAACGGAAAATATTTCCCCGAAGGATCAAAAGTACCACCGACTCCGAATAAACCTTGCGAACATTGTTACTGTATTCGAAATATGACGACTTGCGTTATGCAAGAATGTACTCTGCATGTCGACGGATGTACACCTATTTATCACAAAGATGTCTGTTGTCCTATTCGATACTCTTGTGGTAAGAACATCGTTGACTTTATTGTTTATTTTTGTTGAGAATATTTTGTATATATTTTTCTTTTATTTAATAATATTATTTTTCCATTACAGACCATCCTGAAGATGAAGTACCACTTTTAGACGATATGTCAACTACCGTACGGCCCACACCAGGCTTTTTACTTACAACCACAACTCTTTCGCCGGTTACGCAAATGTCACAGGATTGTGTTCATAATGATCAAATCATTGCTGATGGTGCCTTAATAACAACTGAAAAAGCTTGTGAACATTGTTACTGTATGAAAGGGGATATCGTTTGTGTAGTGCAAGAATGTGGTGCACCGATGGAAAATGAAGGCAAAAATTGTACCTCCTTACCGCCACGGGAAGGTCAGTGCTGTCCAGACACATACATTTGTGAAGGAGATGATTTTAATACTGACATTCCTGATGAAAGTACAACAGTATCACTTTTAGAAAAACAGACAACGTTATCTCCACCCAGAAGAAGTGGTGTAGAAGGTAGTGGATATAGAATTGAACCTAATGAATCTGCATACACAGCAATACCATCAACAGAACCTGAATTAGAAGGTAGTGGTGAGGAACTAGAACCTACTAAACCTACAGAGGAACACGAAGTCTTAACATCTGTAAAACCATTAGGCATTGAAGAAATCACAGAGGAAAGTGACCAATATATACCAGTTACAACAAAAGCGCCGGCCTATGAGGAATTCGAATCAAGTACAAAGGAAATAGATAACGACTACAAACCACAAATATATTCTACACAAGATACTCTTAACGAAGATATTGGCGATATAACTATTGGAGTAACAGAAGACGTGCCACAAAAACATGTGACCTCAGCTATTACATCTGTTCCCGAAAGTTATGACAAATATACTACAGAATCTATTGAATCTCATAATACTGTTCCGGATGCATCGCCTGAGAAGGAACACGAAATACTGCCTGAAAATACACCCAGTGCAACTGACATACCGACATCAGAAGAAGTTAAACCAACTATGCCGCAAAAAAGCGAAGATGATAAAGAAATGGATGCAACTTTGAATCCCATTGCAGAAATAGATACTCATGACGAGAGAACCACCGATAAGACAGTTGTTATTCCAGAGCACGTAACTCAAAAAGAAATCTCAGCACTAGAAAGTGACATGGGTGGTACAACCAGTGCCTATGCAACTTCTGAAGAGTTAGAAACCGTCACGAAAGAAGTCGTTATGAAAGAAAATGAAACTTCCAAAACAGAAAAACATATTCTTAGTACTACAAACACGCCATTGGCAGAAGGTGAACAACTAACTACGGAACTAAACCTTGCGCAAAACACAGTTGTTTCAGGAGAAGACGAAAGCGAACATTCACTTCTTATTCCAGAAAAAACTAGAAAAACTACCGAATCTGATATAGAAGGCACCGAAAAAACACCAAAAGAAAATGTTCTAGAACCTAAAGAACGACTTACAATTGTAGCCACACCTTCAACAGAGAGTGAATCAACTGCTGAACCTGATAAAGGATTAAATACTATACCAAGCGATACTGATGAACAATCAACTTCTCAACCTTTATTAACAGACATAAATATATCTTTAATTGAAACAAAAACTACTGAATCGACTGATATTATTGATATTGAGAAATCACCTGTTACTACATCAGCTTCAATCTTGCAATCAGAAGCAAATATCACTAAGGCAGACCAACATACTATTACTACTGAACCCTCATTTAGAAAGGAAGATGAAGTCATCGTTTCGACTGAAAAAACCAAACAAGAATTCGGAACAACCACTATAAAAACAGAGTTTGTAGATGAAGGATTTATTCCTACATTGACTCACGATGAAAAATTAAGCACAGGACAAGATGTTCCTTCTACAGATGAAGACATTACAACCATTATGCCAGAATATGAAAAAGAGTTAGAACAAAAACTTTCACAAAAACAACCCACTACTGAATCGATCCACGAACCATCAGTTAGTTCAGGCAGTTTACCAGAAAAAGTTACTGAGACTAATTCTCAACCAGAAGGTACTTCATTACCTACTATTGAAATAACAACACATGCCACCACTTTAATGAACGAAGTTAACACTCATGAAGAGCCAAGTCGTATTCCTGGAGAAGGAGACTGTCTTTTAAATGGTGTAACTTACAGAAATAATACAGTTGTTCCCAGCACTAATAATTGTCAAACAGGATGTAAGTGTATTAGCAGTATTATCAAATGTGATCCCATAATTTGCAGCCCTCCACCGGATTATATGAGCAATTGTCAATCAATATATGATACACCTGATTCGTGTTGTCCTACATACATTTGTGATCATCCAAGAGAAACCATTCCACCGCAATCGGATAATCAGATGTCGGGAACGGAACCCCCTGTTCTATCACCTACGATAGAGTGTCGAGGTGACCAGTGTGAATTAACTGAGACAACAAAACCTACGGGACCGTCTGAACTTTGCACATCTGACGATTGTTTATCTGCAACTAGTGATAAAATTGGAAATGAATGTGGACCTGATGGCTGTGGTGACTTTGTAAAAGAGTCCGTCTCTTTGAAGCCATCTGTTGAACAGCAGGGATGTACCGATGGCAAATGTGAATCGTCAAAAGAAGACTGTAATGATGGTAAATGTCAAGTATTACCAACTGGTAGCGAGCAACCTTCGATTAAACCCTGCAACGGTGAAGATTGTAATGTTCAAGATGAAGAAATCCTCAAAATTGAAATACCTGTTACTCAAACTGCCACAGACGTTAACTGTGGAAGTAGCGGCTGTGATTCTAACGTGGTTACACCTCCTCAGAAAAATCAGCAAGAAATATGTAACGAAAAAGACGGTTGCAAATCTGAAGATATTACAACATATGAGTGTGATGGGGATAAACCTTGTAGAAGAAAGGATTCTTCTATTACAGAGCAACTGCGACCATCTAAATGTGAGGATGAAGACTGCGTACAACAAACAGACACTACGCTTGAAGAAGAAATGTCGAAATTGAGTACCGTATCGTCAATATCAGATAAAACACAATCGAATGCAGTAACAGAAAAAATTGCTCCTGTAAACGTAGAAAAAATATCAGAATCAACTGATAGTCCAATTTTTGATCAGAAAATACCAATAAGCACGACAATTGCCCAATCCACAACAGAGCAGACTGATAAGATACTAGACGAGGAAAAAGAAATATCAACAGTAGAACCAAACTTGATTGAGAAAGAAGGCACGAAAAATCCTAATGATATGGAAACCGATTTACTAAATTCAAATGAAGAAGTAACTACATTGAAACCTAATATTATCCAAAGCGCTGAGGAAAATCAAGCCACATCTACACCCGAATTTGTTAAAGTAGATCATACAGATAAAACATCACCAGTTAAAGAAGAAAAAACTCAGCAACCCGACGAAAATGACGAAGAGGAAACAAATAAAAAAGCATCTATTGATGAGGAAGTTACAAACATACCAGATCTTACTGAAGAATACACCCCCAAATCCACCGATGTATCTAAAGCTGTAACAGAACAATTCGATAAATTCACTGTTTCGGAAGAATCTATTACAAAAATAACGGATGTTACAAAAGAATATTCTGACAGATCAACACAGATACCCGATATTGTACTAGAAAATACTACAAAAACACCTGATATCATGAAAGAATCTATTGAAGAATCAGTTTCTACAGATGATGTAACAAGAGCTAGCATAACAGAACCCACCGATATACCATATGCTTCTGATGACGCTGAAAAATTATCGGGACACAAAGTAACTCCAATTGAAGACAAAAGTACAAGTACGCCAAGTGTCACTAAGGAATATAGCGATAATCTAACTGAGAAGCCTTATGAAGTTACTTTGACTACAGAATCAAGCACAAAAATACCTGAAATAATTGAAAAACAAACTGCCGAACCAATATCTATAACTGAAAAAGCTACAGGAACACCTGATCATGTAATAGAAAATACAGACAAACCATCTTCACCCGAGGATCAAAACACAGAGAAACCTAATGCTCCTGAAAAACAGGATGTCGATAAAATATCTTTAGTTGAAGAGGAAACCTCGAAAAACACTGAGACTCCAGAAGTCATTAAGGGTCATACTGACAGAGCATCTACAACGGAAGAGTATTACACAAAAGCACCTGATGGCCCAGAAACACAGAGTTATGTACCTGTTTTCATTACAGAAGAAGTTACGGAGACACCAGATTATAGAATAGACCACTCAGATAAACCAACTTTAGTTGAAAAAGACGACACGAAATTACCTGATAGCACTGAAAATGAACCTGACGACAAATTAACTCCAGTTAAAGAGGTAAGCACGAAAACACCGCAAATCATAGAAGACTTAAGAGATGAAACCACAAAGGTTCCAGAAACGATAAAGGACCAAACTGATGAAACAACAAATAGTCCTGACGTTGTAGAAGAACAAACTGATAAATCATCTGAGGCTTCAGTATCAGATATAAAGACACCAGATATCAAAGAAGAACACACCCTCATTCCAGTTATCATTAACGAAGAAACCACGAAGACACCTCATGACGCAGAAGTGGATTTGTATCAAACGTCTTCACCTGAAGAACATGACATAACAATGCCTCATGATCATGTGGATATTACTGTTTTACCTAAGGATGAAAAAGAAAAACCCATCCTTGTCGAAGAAGAGCTTCCAGAGATATCTACAGATATTAGAGAATCAATTGAAAAGAAAACAGAATTTATTGAGAAAGAAGGTACAACGGAGCCAACAATCGCAGAAGAAAATGGCACAGAAAGCATGGAAGTAATTGAAGATAGTACAAAGAAGCCTATGTTGATTGACGAAGCATCTCCTGATGATATTGAAGGAAACACAAATGAGTTACCAATTGTGACAGAAGAATCTAGTACAGACAAATCTAAAGTGAAAGAAGATGTAGCGAAAGATAAGCCATTGGATGCTGAAAAGGCCACAGAGGTGCCCAATATTGGAAAAGAAGATCACACAACTGCCTCATTAGAACCCGAACACACGGATAGACCAGACGTGTTTGAGATACATACAAATGAACCAGATTCTAAATATACTGAACCACATGAACCGCAAATTCCAGGTGAAGACAAATCTGGTACGAAATCACCTGAAACATACGTAACTGAATCTGAGAAAGAAATGAAGTTACCTGAAAGTTTAATAGAAGAACACACTAAAACAACAGGCGAAGAATCGGATAAGATAATCCCAGCATCTACTCCAGCTTATGAATCCCAAACTGCTGGAAATGAAGAAAGCAAAAAGCCTCATTTGGTAACTTTCGACATGAGTGTAACAGATAAAATTTCAAAATCTCCCGATGCACAAGGTGAAGAATCTCCAATAACAGGGTTCCAGGAAGCTGTAACAAAACAAGAAGAAATAACACAGCAACCTTTGGATGAGGGATATCAGACAACTTATCATCCATCTAAGCATGTCACTAGTGAAAACGAAGCGGCTGAAGTGCCTGAAATTGTAATGACCACAGAATCAGTTGAAAAAGCAACAAAATCTACGGAGCATGAAATTATTCAAGAACAAGAAGAAGACTCCACAGGTGTTCCTAAGCAGGAACCCTTACCCTCAGCCACACAATCTCCCAGTGACAAGATTACTGAACTGCATAAAGCAGAACAGCCTGATTCCCCAGATGTAACAGAAACCAAGAACACAAGCCAAGAAGAAGAAACTACCACTAAAGCATTTGAAGATGAAAACATCAAATCTTCTGTTTCAGAATCTCACGTGACACTAGGTTATGAAGATGCATATACTACACAAGAAGTTGATAAAATAACAGGAACTGTTGATACAGAAACTCAAACGGGTGAACTCAAACCACACGAAGGTGAATTAGAAAGTACATCTATCAAAGTTCCTATTGCTGATAGTAAGGATGATATAAACAAGAATCAACCTGATGTTAAGACACCTGAAAAGGAAGAAATGATTACTAGCTCAATAGATACTATAGTCACAACAGCTCCCTTCAAAGGTTTTACGGAAACTAAAGATACATGGAACACAAGCGAGGAACACATCTCAACTAAATATAATGAAGAAACCACAGAGCATCTTGAACAACCTTCCACAAAACAAATAGACGATAGCTCAGAAATGTTGATTTCAAGTTCGAAAACAACAATGGTCCCCGAAGAATATCATACTCAATCTCATTTGGGATACACTGAAACACCTATTTCAAAACAAACTACACCATCGGAGAGTTACGAATTACCTACAACACCTACATCATCTGAAATATCACAAGAAACTTCTGATTTCACTAAACCTATTTCAGAAGAACCTCATCGACGAACTGAGATTACAGACCTAGAAAAAACTACACCCGCTACGTCTGAAGCTGGTGATAGTTCTATCTACGAAGAAAAAACCACAAAAATTTCAGACTCATATTTCCCGGTACATTCAGATTTATCTACAGTAGAACCACAACTATATACTGCTACTGAATCTGCAGATTTTGAAGTCACTGAATACGTTAAACCTGCATCAGTAGCACCAGAACTAACAAAAACAACTGAATCATTATATAGCGAGCCAGCATCAGTGGATCTTCAAAAGACAACTATAATCCCAGAACTAAGTGATAAACCCAGCGCTGTCACTCTAACTCCAACAGAAGATCGTGAAGTTCAAAAATCTTCTACTGAGCTACCAGCTACATTAATGGAAATACACACTGCTTCGCCAGAAACACAAACAACGACAGTAGCGCCGTTATCTCTTGAAACTGAAACAGATGTTAGCGTGGCAGGTGATAAACACGACGGCACAAAAACGGTACCTGCACCGGTGTCCGACACTGAGGCCGAAAAGGAAACTACTGAAAAGGAAGATGTTACTACTTCATTGCATGAATTTACTCCTACTAAGACAATGGAAGTCACTGAATCTCCTGTAAAAGCTACCTCTCAAGTTGAAATTTCAGAGACAACACCATATCTGATTGAATTAGAAGAACACACTCACAAAATTATCGATGATATTTCTACTGTTTTACCCACAATTGATAAAGAACCAACATATGAGACCGAAGTAGGCATTTCTACGCCATCTTCTAAAGACGAGCATATAGATGTACAAGAACTAATGACGCAGTCACCGTTTGAAGAGGAACACACTTCTAAGATAAAGGAAAATCTTTCAACTGTGTCGACTGTTGAAGACTACACTAAAAAGATTCCAGAAGATACTTCAAGTGGATCAGAGTTGGTTAGTGCGGTCACAACTGAACTGAACGACGTTGAAAAAGTTACTGAAAAGATACCCGGAGAAATCTTTGAAACTGCAACAAAACAGTCAGAGAGACCTAGTAGTGAAGAAAGCTCAACCATTTCTGAAATAGTTCTCTATCCGACAACATTATCTGAGCCTAAAGAAACTGATGCAGAAGCGAAACCTTCTGTAGAACAAGAAACTGGAGCACCTGCAATAGGTGAAGATGGTGGAGTTCCTCAAAAGGATATCACAACTTCTAAGGCTCAAGAATTCCAATATACAACACCTACTATTGTTAGTGACACGCCACAAAAATTACCTGTTTCTGAATCAGATGATAAAGTACCGACTGATGAAGAATATTCCCACCCGCATATCACAACAGCAGATGAATCAGTATTCCCCACAACTAAAGCAACTACTATCAAACAAGAAGAATTATTGACACCTTCACCTGAAGACAAATTTAGTACACCAGAACAAAAGCCTACAAGTGATGCTGTGTCATCGAGTTCAACAGCTGAGATACCAAAACCTCCAACTGAAATGGTACCTACTGATGAAATACCGACTCCGGAAGATGATGGACTCTCTTCGGGTGTATCCGGGTATGGTGAACCAGACTACGGTGAAGAAGATCAAGCATTTGGGCCTGGAACATGCCGCTATGGAGGCAAAGTTTACGTGTCTGCCCAACAAATACCAAGGGACGATCCATGTGATTTCTGCTTCTGTTTCAGAAGTGACATTATCTGTTTACAACAAAGTTGTCCACCACCCATTCACGGGTGTCACGAAGAACCAATTCAAGGTTTCTGCTGTCCTCGATATGAATGTCCTGTTTCAATGGCCACTACTGTCAACGTTACCACAACTACAACCACAACGACCACAACACTGCCTCCACATTTCCCGACCCATGGGTACAAGGGCTCGGCGCAAAGAAGAGGCTGTCAAATAAAAGGACACATATATAAAGTAGGAGAAGTCGTACGCTCGTCATCAGGACCATGTTTACACTGCACGTAAGTCAATTCACACTTTATTTTTTGGTTTTACTTTTTCACAGTTCATTTCTATATTATGTTGACAATTATACAAGTAGGTATATAATAAACCACAAAAAATGTTCGGCTCAGGGTATTACCTATTTCAAGCACGAACTTGAAATAGGTTATACCCTGAGCTTTAAGTACAAGCCAATTTATACTTTAATTTTAAATTATGTGCCTTTTAGTAAAAAAAAGCCAAAAGAGGTAAAATAGTCTAGGAAATATATAAAATATTATGGACTGACATTAATGCATGCTATCTAGAAATTACAGCACCAAAAAATTCAACTCGTTAATGAATTTAATTAAATGTCTCATTTGTTATTTTACAGATGTGGAGGAGACGGTCAAATGAAATGTGATCCTAAGGCGTGCACCCCTGAACCAATGTTGAGGCAAATGATTGCAGCTGCCGTGTCAGCCAAGAGACGAAGATGAAATATCTACGAGAAATTCTAAAATGTATCGTACTTATCACAAAATTAGCTTTTGTGATAAATAATTCCATCTACTCTTCTATGCACAAGAATAATGCTCAATTCAAATTATCCCCATGGAGTAGTTTAAGATTTCGTGTCATATGTAGTAATCTTTAGTAGCGATTTTTTACTTTTCATAAAATATCGTGGCACGCTCATTTCTTCGTTATGGAAATAACTAATCAACTGTTCATGACTGTGATTAAATCTATTTTTTTAATTTCTGAAACTAAAGGCTAATTTATTTTATTATTTAACGTTTTCTAACAAAAGACAGTGCCAAACGATAGTGCTAAGTTTTTAAAGACTACGCGTTTATGATAAAAAGTTCAAAATTATAAAAATGTCACCCAAAAATAGAAATTCGTATTGACCAAAGCGAAGCTACTTACTCTCAAATATACATTATTATATTAATGAACGTTGACCAAGTTCAGGCTTAAAAGGTCATTTAGATCGCCGAAATCTTGACCATTTTAAATGTAAACTTAATTGTTTTACCGATGTAAGCTTAGTCAATTTCTTTATTTTTACACGATGTTACAACACGTAACCTAGTATCGTGTGAATATAAAGTTATCTTAAGGATCCCTGATGTTGTAAATGCCTTACTTAATTTGTAATAATTTATATATTTTAGGTGTATAGTACTTAAGCCATGTTTTGAGACCAGTGACTATTATAATTTTAGAAATAAAGGGCCGTTTACAATAATTGAGAAAAGCGTTGATCGATGTAATCACCTTGGCCGATGCTTTTCCTGCTTACACGTTTTACAGAAAGTGACTGTTCTTGTTTTCTTTAACTCGTGAAAGACGCGTGATTTTTACTAGCACTTACCCAGTGATAGTGGCCAATATTATAATCGTTTTGTAAAAACAACCCTTTACATTATGATTACACAAGAAAACATATTGTAGGTCTTTTGTAACTTTTGATATTAAAGTGCTGGTAGTATAAAAAATCAGATTGAGATGGGTACGAAAGTTTAACAAGCTATTGCAACCCTTTATGTGGCCAAGCAACAGGCGCATGTTTGATTGCATTAATTCGTACCAACCTTTATCTGTACGCAGGTTGTAGTTATATTTCTTATTTATTTAATATCGTAGCAATAGAATTATTGGTCTAAAATTATATTGTGACTTGAATAATGTGCATTTTTAACATTAATGCATTCAATCACAAGAAATTATATCATTAAAATCATATTTTATTTGTTTATGATATTTTACCGAGACTAGCGAAACCATCCAGCTGTCTGTACAACTGTGCGAATGAGTTTTGAATAAAATATTTCAAATGATTTTATTTTCTTAATTTACACCATTTTCCCATTCCTTCTTCAGATATGTACAGTTAAAGAGCTAGTCATAATGTGATAAAAATTAAATCAATAAAAAAAAGAAAATAACAATCGATCGTATTGATTATATAATTATGAAAATATTCAATGGTCTACATTAGAGGCATATTGAATATCAACGATAATATCGAATATGAAAGATCGCGGCTGATGAGGTCAGCGTTCGGACCGTCCCCTGCCCACTACCAAAACCCCGAAAGATTTTACCTAGAACTTCAAATCAGCTTTAAACGCCTCGAGAACTGCGTTGAGTCGAACGAATTCCGAACCGAACGAAATCGAAAATATTATAAAATATATTATTACGATTTTGTATACTATCAAGTATTACGTATAATGTGTTTAATTATTCTTATTAAATAACATTGTTACCAAGTTTAAAAGACTAAGTGTGAAGGTGTGATGTAGGTATGTACAGCGCATCGTCGCTCGCCACGCGCCGCCTGCTTTGTGTCGCTCTGTACAGTATTCAGTAATAAACTAGTGTTAAACGTGTAAGCTCGTTTCAAATACATATCACTAACTCATCTTGTTAGCTGTATTATACGTATAAATAATTTTGTATTTGTTTTCGTTTTACTTGTAACGAACATTGTTTTGTGTAGTATGTCATTTGTACAGAGCTTCGTTTTATTTAGTACTAGCTGACCCTGCAAACTTGTTTTGCTATTTACATTTTTTTTTTTTTTTTTGAATTTCCTAAAATCCGTTCTTAGCTGACCTCTACTCGGTGAAAAGAATATTCCTACCAAATTTCAAGTCTTTAGCTCTTATGGTTCCAGAGATATCGTGATGACTGACTATATACGTGGAAATCTCTTATAAATATATGTATATATAGATAGATACTAATCTATCTATATATACATATACATAATATCTTATATCTGTGACTACACAGATATAAGATATTATGTTAGATTCAGATATTACTTAGGTCGTATTATATAACGTTTCTCAAAACGCTTGAGCGTAGTTTTATAAGATAAAAATTAACCTCAAGCGTTTCTTTAGTTTTGAGTATCATTTTGTAATACGACCCTTAGATTTATTTGTTTGTAGATACTTATCTAATTATTATTGAATTATATTCTGGACACACACTCTTCTCCCGAATTGCAACGCGGACATCCTCGGTCGTCCCAGAATCGTTCAGGCCGGAGATGCCCAGCTCCGCACACTTTGTAGGCCTGGCGATCTTTACACCATGGCTGGAAATAATTCCCGCAGTTTCTCAGCAAATGTGTCCGCCGTCTTTGCGCCTTCAGCCCCAGGGAACTCGAGAACTCGAGCTCCCGTTTGGGCGAGGTGCATCCTGATCCCTACCGTCCCGAAATCATTGGCGAGGCTGTCCTGGGCTTTTTTGAATACGGTCGCATAGGACAGCCCGCTGTTAGCCGCCTCCGGTTAGTTTCTGCGGCTTCCTCTTGTTAGCCACTGTGGAGTAGAGGCTGCTTTTTTAGCCTTCTTACCCCGCTTTCGGGACTTCTTGGTCGTAGCAGTCGTAAAGGGGACCGTTGTTGAGGGACCAGGTGTTAAAGTGGGAGGCCGTGGAAGCTCTGTTCCTGCCTTTGCCACGGACTTTGGTGGAGGCCCAGCCCTCGGTGCGTTACCGGCGTGGTTGCCGACGCCGCCGCCGCATAAGACACGCGGCCACTTGCAATGGGAAACGGAGTCTGCACGGTTGCTGTCTTCGGCCTATCCGCTGCTAGAGATAGCCGAACAACGGGGCCGGTGGCTGCCTCGCTTCCAGGCCGAGACGTCCGTCCAACATGCGCCCCACCGCGTCAAGTATTTTGCGCAGGTGGGCATCGGAGACATCCCCGGGACCGTGATCGGGGAGGCGAAGCTCCTGTGGAGCCAAGCTCTGTCGCTCAGGGCAATCCTCCTGCGACCTGAATTGGGCAAATTGAGCGCTTAGTTCAGCCACCTGCCCTGTCAATCGATCGTTAGCCGCTTCGAGACAAGCCACATTGGCAATGAGGGCGTCTACCACGCCAGATATGGCAGAGGAGGAGTCCTTAAATTGACCCTTAAGGTTCGTACATTTAGTGGCCACCTTGTTAATGATGGCCACCGCTACGTTCGCCTTCTTCTGCATGGATACCGGTGCTTGGGGGACAGAACCCCCTTCGGCTGATTCTCGTATCTTTTGCAGGAGATTAGCGATCTCCTCCTCCGCTACCGTTTCGCCCTCCGCTCTGGCCTGAGATATACTTGGCTATACTTCCGCCTTAGAGAAGACGGACCGGGACCGGGCCGCGATCGGTGTCCTTGACCTTCCTCGCTGGCTGCTGGCCACCTAAGGTAGCAACATGTGATGCGATAGGTCGACCTTTTCCTCTTTGGAGCGTCCACGTTTGCGACTCCCAATGTCGCGGAGGTCGATTTCCATAGCGTCTACCGTCATAGAATAACGGACCTGGAACGAAGACGTTCAGATGTTCTTCTGCTCCTAGAAGTAGGCCTCACTTCTGGGAGAATATTCGAGATAGGCATCTCTAGGGAAACCTCCTCATTATGGGACGAGGAATTGCCCACCTTCTTAGCCTTCTCACTCTTCCTTCTCTCCTTCCTCACACACTTCTCCTTCTTTTCTTCGGTTTGTATGTTTAAATTTCAATCTACCATAATATACCCACGAGTGGGGGAGAAATAAAGGTTGACCCGGGCAGAGATCCCCCAATACCCGGGCAAGCGTATATTTATACCCAACCGAGGGGTCCGCAGGTGCCCCGGCTGGGAGTGCGCTTGCAACTGAATTACCCATCAGCCATGCATCCCCTGACCACGCACTAGAACACGGGATTCCGAGTAATTTTTTAAAGAGTTTTTGTTCCTCGCAATCCGGGCGGCTAAGCCAAGACCCTCGCCCCCGACTAGAGTCGCGATACATAACCACGAACTCTTACCGGAATTACGATCTGCAAACGGTGGCATGGAGACGCAGTCCCCATTGCTCGCTCGGTGCCAGAGTAAGTGCTCACCGAACCCGTCGTTCCTCCACTTTGGACAGTGGAGCAACGCACAAGAGCACCTCCCTAACTGCCTCAGCCAACATCGGAATCCTAGGCATCGACATATCGAGTGAAGTCCATTTTTGGGGTCACTTAGAAGGTAAGGTCAAATTGGCCTCGAAGAAGCTCGGTGTGCTGAAGAGATCGAGGCAGTATTTCACTCCGGCCCTCCGGCTTCAGCTCTATAAGGCGCAAGTTCGGCCGCATATGGAATACTATTCACATCTCTATGCAGGGGCACTTCAGTACCATCTTCTCCCTCCCGACCGCATCCAACGAAGAGCGACTCGAATCGTAGATGGCCCAAACATCTCCGATCGGCTCGATCCCCTGGCGTTACGTAGAGATGTGGCTTCACTCTGCTTTCTCTATCGCATGTGTAATACAATGCCTCCTGAATATGTATGTGTAGTTATATGATAATTGACAAGGATATAAAGTAATAACACCGGTATTGTATTTCAGGTTTATATGCAATATACAATGACACTTTCACACTATACAATTCACTCTTAATTATAAGCAAGAACGACTTACCACTTTGACCGTCCCAACTCGACTGCCCCGTTCTCCATTCCATTTTATTTCTCTCCCTTCCAATCCCCACTATTGTCATCCACTTCCCCTGTCAATGTTGCCATGTTAAAAATATAACTCCCAAGTCAACTATAATCGATTAATCAGGGAAGTCGATGACTCAAGTGACGGCATTGGCTGTAAAATATTATGTTCGTATTTAAATAAATACCAACATAATACCCCAAAGAGACATTTTATATTAAGAAATTATTACCTAACCTTACATTCGTCCTTCCTGACAACGTGTAGTGTCCTCATACACGAATCAAGTGATAACTTAACCTTACATTAGGCCTGGTTGTAGAAATACATCATAATGTAATAGTTTCTAACAAAACAGCGAATATATAAAAATACCTATAATATCCCTATTTTAAATATTACTTATCCTAACTACTATTGATTGCTATTATACCAGGTATAACAATATACATATTAGGACGAAATTTTCATTACAGTTTTGAGTATCTAAATAAAACATTAGTAATTATTTACAATAGGATTTATTATCCTAGAATCATAAAATGTCAATAGCTCTCAATGAACATCTTTATTTTGAGATGAAAAGGCTCTTTTAATTTTAAGAGTTATAAGTGCAATTATATGTTTGTAATTCTAACTTGTAAACATCCGCTTTAAACATGGATAATTGTAATAATTTTCATTATTAAATTAAACATTTATCATGTTATAACATAAAGCGTAACACATTTAATCGTTTTGTACAATTTCTACAAAAACAACGACATCCGGCATAGCAACTTTTCCTACCGTCATTGATATAATGTATATTAGTTAGTTTCGTATGGCCTAAAACAACGGTTACTTGCTCAAGCATTGGACGAGAAGGACAAACTATAGATAAGGTAAGTGTCTAGGCATCTAACCCAAAATATTGTAATTAATTATTATTTAATATTCTTATGTCATATTAAATATCTGTGTAACAATCAATAAGTTCTTGTGTTTGACATTGTGTGGATAGATTCGTGCGTGTGATTAAGTGCATAATAATAAGTTGATTGAGTGATATTTTTCTTAGTTTCAATTTTGAACGATACGAATGAGGTAAGTGATGCTATCGGTGAGGCTAACATGACGGTTTCTAAAGTAATTTTATGCTTCTAGTGCTGTTTTACATTTTAATATTTATGACGACTACACTAATTTTCTATTACACTATTTTCACTGAACTATTAACAGATCAAAAATCATTAGTAATCAACAGAAGATTTGTTATTGAAATAGTCTACATGTTTAACTTCTATATACATATATTGTGTGACGGGCACGTCCGGATGCAATTAATTTATAATTTATAGGTACCAACAAACACTGAAGTACGTCCACCAGCAATCAGGTCAACACAGCCCCGGCTTTGCCCAGTCCAGAATCACACCGCTTTTAATCTTGTATCAAAGCAATCAATACCCCCAAACCAATCAATTCTTGGAGGTTACTGACGCTATACCATTACTGAACCAATCAATTCTCAGTTATGGCATATACCTGACTTCAGTACTTTGTTGCCTTGAACCAATCAATTCTCAAGGACTTACACATTCATTATCTAATGTGGAAAAAGGTGCGAACCAATCAATTCTCGCTCTTTATCCACTTCTATCCCTTTGGTTGCCTTAAACCAATCACTTCTCAAGGACTTACACATTCATTATCCAATGTGGAAAAAGGTGCGAACCAATCAATTCTCGCTCCTTATCCACTTCATTTTTTCTTTTTGATGCCTTGAACCAATCAATTCTCAAGGGCTTTTGCATGATTCATTATCTTCATATACTTCATTAACTCATTCGCTGTCGGTTACGCTACGATCAGAGTTGCAGTCATTATTAACCTCAAGGGACGCAATATGTATCCAAGGCTGTATACGATCTGCAGCCACAGTTGTTTGGCGTTTACTCTTCGTACTTTTAAAACCGGGGATAGGGGCTACCTTATAACGGTCGTTCCCTAATACCTTTATGATTTTAAAAGGACCTTCATACGTCGACATAAGTTTTGTACTTTTGCCTTCGTTATTAAAGGATGACTTTAATATTTTCACCAGCTCACCCTTGTTATAATTGCGTGACGGTTTCCTACCTCTATCATAATAGTGTTTTTGTTTTCCCTGTTCTACGTCTATCCGATCCTTAACTTCGTTACGTAATGAATCTAGATCCATAGTTTCAACAGGCGGTGTTACGATTTCATTTAACGCTGGGTTTAGTTCACTGTTCATTTTCATACCAAACATTACCTCCGTAGGTGTACGGCCAATAGTTTTTTGTACTGTATTATTCAGACCCCATTGAATTTTACCCAGCTTGTTATCCCATTCTCTTTCATCGTCCTTTAAGTTCTGTGCTGTTAGTGAATCTAATATCGTGCGGTTGTACCTCTCTACTTGACCATTAGCTCGTGGACTAGCTACAGCATTTAATACGTGTTTTATGCCCTTACCGAGACAAAATCTTTTGAAAGCATGGGATGTGAAACAACTACCGCGATCACTAATTAGCCTATCAGGGTTACGGAACGTATAGAAGACATCTTCCAGAACATTGATCACGCTCTGAACCTTCGTGTTTCTTACAGATTTGATAAAGACGAATTTTGTAAAAGAGTCCACTATCACCAAAATATGCGTGTGTCCTCGTTTAGATCTAACGAAGGGTCCAACGTGATCAATGTGGAGGGTGTGGAAGGGTACATTAGCTTTGGGTATAGGGTGTAATAGTCCTTCTCGTGTATTCGAGGATTTCTTCGCATAGGCACACTCAATACACGCCCCAACATATTTCTTCACAAATCGATTCATTTTCGGAAACCAATAAGTACGCTTTATTCGATCTAACGTCTTTTGTAATCCTAAGTGACCCATGTCGTCATGACTCATTTTACACAGTTGCCAACGAGCGCCCTTTGGTACTACCCAACGAACCTGTTCTTTATCTTCATCTACATACCGAAATAGCTTGTTATCACGGATGACAAAACTCTCCTTAATATATCGAAGTTCCTTTTCGTCTATGTTATTTGAAAGTATATCTTTGATCCGTTTTAACTCTGTGTCTCCTAGTTGCAGCGTCAATAACCAGTCTTCGTCACTAATAGCCATGATCATTGGTGCCTGCTCAAAGATTTGACTGCATTCGACGGCTACAGGATTGCGCGATAATGCATCAACGTGGGCCATTTTGGCTCCAGCCCGATATTCTATGCTGCAATCAAACTCCTGTAATAGTAACCACCACCGAGCTATCCGCGGAATCAAATCCCGTTTTTGAAACGTAGAGCGTAATGCACTGCAATCTGTCACAATTTTAAATGTCTTCCCTAATAAATAGACCCTGAATTTCTTAAGGGAGCATATAACCGCTAGAGTCTCGAGTTCATAAGAATGAAATATCTTTTCTTCGGGGGAAGTCTGCCGGCTATAATATGCAACAGGCTTTAAATCATTGCTACCTTGAACACGTTGCAACAGCATACTCCCTACTCCTACTTTACTAGCATCCGTGTGGAGCTCCAGTTCTGCATTCTGGTTGAATATGGCCAAAATCGGCCTATTAATTAGACTCTTTTTCAAGGCCAGGAAAGCAGTTTCCTGAGCATCTGACCATTCCCAAGCAGCGTCCTTCCTTAGTAATTTATTCAAGGGATGTGCAATCATCGCAAACCCTTTGACAAACTTTCTGAAATAGCTCACCAAGCCCAAGAATTGTCGCACGCCATGTACATTTTCCGGACGCGGAAAGTCCTTGACGCTATCTACCTTGGACGCGCCCGGCTTTACGCCAGTAGCACTAACTTCGTAACCGAGATAGTCGATCTTATTTTGAAGGAAACTACACTTTAACAAATTGAGTGTCAAGTTGGCGTCTTCGATCATTCTCATAATGTCCTCCAATCTATTCAAACATTGCATTGCGGTTTCACCGTAAACCAACAAATCGTCAATATAGACGGTAGCTATACTATAACGCGCCGACCCAAGGATGCCGTTCATCATACGTTGAAATACTGCTGGTGCATTTGCCAACCCAAATGGCATACGATTAAACTCGTATTGCCCATCGGGTGTGACGAACGCAGTGTAGCGTTTGCTACTCTCGGCAATAGGTACTTGATAATATCCAGACATGAGGTCTAGAGTAATGAACCACGCCTGGCCTGATAGCCGTGCAATTTCATCCTCTATGACTGGCATAGGGTATCTCTCCTTCAAGGTAATAGAGTTGAGCATTCTGTAGTCGACGCACATTCTAGTATTGCCGTCCTTTTTGCGCACTAGAATAATGGGGCTAGCATATTCTGACACCGACTCCCTGATGATCCCGGTTTCTAGCATTTCGTTAACCATGCCACGTACTTTATCTCTTTCAAAGTGAGAAAGTCTATAGGGTCGATAAACTACAGGTTTTTGACTATTGAGCTCAATGTTCATCTCCGTAGCATGACTACAACCCAGTTCACGCAAGGATGACGCAAAACAGTGCTTATAACGTTGCAACAAATCAAACAATTGGCGCTTCACTTCCTCAGGTACGTCTTGTCCGAGTCGAACTTGGCTCAGATCAATAGTTCTGTCTGCAGGGACAATCTTGCCGCCATGATCTGAAACTGGCTCAGAGGTCACAGTGGTCACGGTACTCACAACCTTAACCTTTTCGACCCTACAGATGACGGCATTTCCTCGCAGAAAACAGGGTATGGTATTCGGCGTGATTGTCACAAATAGCTGGCCATGCCGTACTGGGTGAACGCCTCCACCAACCAGGAACTGATTATTTGGAATACCAACCCATTTATTATTTACCAAAACGTCACCATCGTACGTTGATTCCGTGCATACCTTCACGCTAGCAGTCCCCGATAGCGTAACGTGACCGGTGACTATACCCTTGAGGCATTGATCGTGGCCCCCATCGGGGTCTAACTGGGGTAGCTCAGTACCAACGTCAAGAAATCTAAGGCTAGTAGAATCCTTAATTACTATAATGTGTGGTTGTTCAGTGTATGACTGACCGATCAACAGAGGTTTGTCCAAGAATTGATCATCTACCACTCTACATATGACATCAGCACTAACGTCATCGATCTTTAAATTAAGCACTATGCTCCCAGGCGAATGCACCAACTCGTTACCAAAACCTTTCATAACGGTTGGTACATTGTCATGGGTGCTTCTTATTTTGTCTGCTATTGACCTTTTAATAAGGGTTACCTCGCTCCCAAAATCCACAAACGATTCCAAGATGGTACCATCAATGTGCACTACTTTTGTGAATTTCGCATTGGGGCTGGAACCTGTGATACACATAGTTTTACGAAAATTTTCAGAGGAGTTAGAAGTCACCCCAGTCTTTTTGAAGCAGTCTTCTGGTTTATGGCCTATCCTATTACACTTACTACATTTTAGTAATGGCTTTGGACATTGTAAGTATGGATGTCCTCGTTCTTTACAATTAAAGCAGTAAATTCCTTGAGTTGGCTTTTTCTTTGGGTTAGGCGCAAAATTTGAATTGTTAATGCTATCTGTCATGTTCCTATGTCTGACATGAAGGGATTGATATTGACCTATCGTATCTCTATTGCTCATTAAGAATTGTAAGAGCTGCTCTGGGTGCGAACAGCGCAATGCCAAGGCACTAGATTTCATTGTTCTATCACTGATTCCATGTATGATGCAATCGACAGCGTTTTTACCAGAAATGTTACACAGGTTCAATAGGGCTAATTTTTCATAATAATAAGTTTCAATAGGTTCACCGAATTTGGTTTTTCGTTTCAACATATCTTCCAAGCATTGGCCATAGTTATGCTCGTGAGGAAACGCGTTAATTAATTTTTCTTGCCACTCTGGCCAAGTAAACAAAATCGTATCTAAACTTTCAAACCACGTCTTGGCCAATCCTTGTAGTTTCTGAAGCGAGAAATGAATGGTGGTCCTTTCATCCCACCCGTATACCGCAGCGCATTCATTTACCTTTTTTAGCCAAATATCCATTCGCTGGTTTTTACCGGCAGGATCAAAATTGGGTAAGATATTTTTATGATCTATGCTTTTATTAATTTTAGGAGTATCCTGCGGTAATAGTTCAGATGCAGACCCCCGTTTTATAGATTGTAATATTTTAATAACATCGTTAGCAGTAAAAGAAGGGCTACGTGACCTGTTTAGTGAAGTGCGATGTCCATTCTCGGGCCTTTCGTCCGCTCGATTCGCTGCCGAGGCCGTATCGCTTATTTGAGGTGACACCGCCAGCGGTCTTTCCGTCGATATTTGCCGGGAGCTCCTTTCGCGTTCTCTCAAACTCTCCCGCTCTTGTTGTAGCTCTCGTTCTAGCCTGTGGACCCGTTCTCGATCTCTGTCCAGCTCACTAACACAGCCCCGTCGGTGACGACTGCGACTGCGAGTGCGAGTGTAAGCCCGAATAGGGTCCACTTCTCGACTTCGCATACGACTACGTGATGGTGTTTTTAATATCCGTTCACCCTCCTTATCCATTTTTCTAAAAGTGAGCTACCGATCCCACTTCTGAGATGTAATACAATGCCTCCTGAATATGTATGTGTAGTTATATGATAATTGACAAGGATATAAAGTAATAACACCGGTATTGTATTTCAGGTTTATATGCAATATACAATGACACTTTCACACTATACAATTCACTCTTAATTATAAGCAAGAACGACTTACCACTTTGACCGTCCCAACTCGACTGCCCCGTTCTCCATTCCATTTTATTTCTCTCCCTTCCAATCCCCACTATTGTCATCCACTTCCCCTGTCAATGTTGCCATGTTAAAAATATAACTCCCAAGTCAACTATAATCGATTAATCAGGGAAGTCGATGACTCAAGTGACGGCATTGGCTGTAAAATATTATGTTCGTATTTAAATAAATACCAACATAATACCCCAAAGAGACATTTTATATTAAGAAATTATTACCTAACCTTACACATGTATTATAGAGAGTGCTCCGACGAATTGTTCCGACTAATACTAGCCGCAATTTTCCACACGGCAAAATTTACATCCTCATCACCGGGATAGTTGGCGCTCCACTACTAAGCGCTTTTCGAGACACTTTTTGCCCCGCTCAACCAATCTGTGAAACAGGTGATACGACCTTCAAACCTTCAAGAAAAGAGCGTACTCCTTCCTAAAAGGCTGGCAACGCGTTTGTGACTCCTGAGTTGCAAACGTTCATGGGCGGCGATGGTCACTTTCCATCAGGTGACCTCTCAATACTCGATACTCAATATGTTTATTGCATTGCACAATGTTTACTTAGATGGTAACTTAAATATAAGATCAGGTCATCGCGAACCCTGTCGGGCACAGCAGTAGATGAGAGAGGGAGAGATAAACTAACAAAAATAACTATACTTCAGTTTTTTATGTACATGCTTAATTTATTGATTGCGATTTCGTTCAACTACAGTCGTTTTTTCCACTCAGGTATTCATTGATGCTGTAATAGCATTTTTGTAGTAGTAATTGTTTTAATCTATTTATATATATATTCAATATAGTGTTATTTCTAATTTCTTCGGGTAATTCATTGTAAATTTTGATAGACTTTACTTGAATGCTATTTGAATGAATTTAGAGTCGGGATGAGGTAGGTTTAGTCTAGTCATATGGCTTAGTGTGTAGTTTTTTTGTTTATCCTCTTTTTGTAAACAGATGTTGATTTTTTCGTACGAATTTACATATTTCCAAAATATAAATTGATGCCAGTATTAGAATGTTGTGTTCTCTAAAGTATGGTTTACAGCTATCGGTATCCTCTATATTGACCAGAAATTCTAATTAGTTTTTTTTAAAGTGTGAAGAGTGTTGGAGCATCTGTACTGTTACCCCATAATATGATGCCGTAACTAAACCAGGCATAAGCGTATGCGTAATAAGTGGGAAGACCTGTTTGAAGTTCGGTGGTCTTTTTAACTTCGCGGAAGGCATATGTCAACTTAGTAATTTAGGAAAAACTAGGAGTTATTTCGTAACTCATGGTACACATATAAATAAACGCAGCTAAGCTAGTTAAGTATTCAAACCTCCTTTCTAAGGAAACCCCTACGTCCAGCAGTAGACTGTTATAGGCTGATGATGATGATGATGATGATGATGAAGCTAGTTAGGAACTACTCACCTACTGACACTGTGAATTCATATAATGCATCCACCCCTTTCTTTTCTGTTCTTTTTTTGTTGACGGGGTGGAAAATCCCTTCCGATCGCCGGCTCCTTGGGGATGTAGGAGCCAGGAGTATGTGGTGTTTACACTAATAACCACCCCGACGGCCTGACTTAGGCGCCCTACTGCAAGGAGGACCCCTACCATGTCGATTCCTCCTAAGTATAATGAGTCAACTGACATTATAGTAATTTCACAGGAGAGCGATTTGAAGGCAAATCGTTTATATTTTGATGAAATCAAACTTATTCGAAATAAGTTATGTTTTAATATTATTATTTTAATAAGGATTGGAAGCTCTTCCTTTTTCATAAACTGCTTTTGCTGATTTTTATTTTTAAATGTCATTTTATGTACATGACTAGGTTTAACTACCAGTTATATTCATGTACGTTGTACATCAAAATCCATGGTTAACTCCAAAAATATTATGAATTATGATTGTCATTTTAATAATATCATCTTACTTTTGGTAGTTTTTAGGATTTTATGCCTCTCTAAACTATAAAATGTTGAAATTACATCACTTGACTCATTATACTAGGAAAGTACTTAGTTATGTTAACATTCATAACCTCAACGTTTACTGGACTAATATAATTCACCGAGACTTTTTAATTACTCATTTTGTTTCTTTATAATATAATATCCTGACAACCGGTCTAACCATACAAATATCGGTATTCCTTTGGGTTACGTAGGTCAGATGGCAGTCGTTAAGAGGAAAACGGATATTCAGTTAATTACCGGTTAGACCAGCGGTCGACCTTACGAAATGTAGCATTAATAAAGGCTAGGTCAATAAAATAATAGAAATGAATAACAAAAATATCTAAAAAGTTTAGGCAATTCTAATGATCACAGCTATGAGATTAAACCAAAAAAAACAGTCTAAATAGCTGTCACCAGCTCTGTCAGAGCCAATAGATTAGTTGAAATCCAATTATATTATAATACTATGTCATTTGGATCAGTATACAATGTACGATTTTAAGTGTTGTCGCAATTGATTTAGTATACGTGAAATTATCTGGGGAATTATTGTTCTTATTCAATTTTTTTAACACTAACGTGAAGATCATGGATTAGTATGTACGTTTATGTAAAAATAATAAAATACCTAAATTTCTTAGATAACTTCGGGGTACCGATAGCTCCTAAGTAGGGGTGATTTTTTAAATATTATTTCTTAGTGCACACCTATGTTACCTAAGGAACTAGATTGTTTCTCAATCGTATAACGTTTTTATCTGTTATGGAATTAACATTATCTATATTTTCTTTACATTGGATTGTGCAGAGGGAAAAAATTAAAAAAGGAGAATTACAACCATTCAGTTCAATGTTAATAAACTCAGACACCCCCCCGATCGACGCCACGCCTAGCAAAGCCCATCCTAAAGACTAAAAGTATCAGCACTTCACTATCGCAATTTGGTTTGTATTAAAAAAAAAGGCTCTTAGTACAGACATTTAAATACCTTTTCTTTCATTTACTGAAATTAATGAACGTTGTCAAATTTTAATTAACTTAGACTGGATCCGATCCCCACATGGGACGACACTTTGTGTCTTGGTATTCTTTGTGTCCGTTTCATATACATATATTCGTAAAGTCCCCCGCGACACAGGATATATTCCTAATGCGGGAGTTGGCTTTTCATATATATTTAAAAAACTAAATATAGTACATTTTAATGGCAGATGTGGCAAAGAATTGAACTATTTCACAGAGCACACAATCAGACATCTACAACTTAGAATGTGAATGTGATCATGTGCATGGGATTCTTCAAAGTTCGTATGTAATACCATAGATGGCTCTGTCTGCAATATTACTCAAACTAATATTTTAATATGTGTAGAGATAGGTAGCGTCACTGACTAAAACTTGTTAACAAAATACTCTATTAAACATAAATTCAAACAATACTATCAAAAGGGACTGCTCAAAATTATCAAAGGTATATCGATATCCTTAAATATTAAACTCTTATAAAACCATGAACCTCCTAACCCTGGTAATAGCGTTGAAGTTAACGTCGCGAATGAGTGATTCATTCTCCATAATAAACATGTCCAAAAAGCCCCAGGCGAAACCGAAGTAAAACTAATAACGACTTGTGGAGACAATTGACAACCTTGAACGTATACTTGAACGTATGTAAATAGTAAATATCTATAGGGGATTTCGATCTAACGATTGTGCATTAAAAATAAAAGCTTGTTTTAGATCCGCAAATTTATTCTAAGTGCAATATTTTTAATCATATCGTACATTCTTTATTACCAACATATTTTGCAGAGCTCAACAAAATACAAGCTTGGCCTTTATTAAAATACAAAATAACAATAAAATACTTTCTCGCATTAATCATCAAACCTAAACTTCAATTTTTCGATTTTTCTTTTACTACATCGTATACGCACATGGTAAACAAGCGCTACCCGTGTGGTGACGGATTAAGAGTACTAAGTGTCACCACCCCTATTTATCCTATGGGTGTCGTAAGCAACAGCACTGCAAAGAGAAGGAAAACTTGAAACACTTTACCAACTGTCTGGCCAGCAGTGGACTGTTAAAGGCTGATGATAATGAAATAAGCGAACCTGATGTTAAACAATGACTATAGCCTATGGGTGCTTAAAACTTTATAGGAACGTAGGTTCCAAGGTGTGAGGAGAAATGCACTACTTACCGGGAAGGTCTAGCTAGACCAGGGATATCCACTATTTTGGGCAAGATTCCGGCCAGAGATTCAAACTATTCTGAGCAAGAGACCCCTTTAGAGGTAGAATGCTGTCGAACATTATAACAAACAGTTTTGCAATCGGTAGAATATAGGATGACAAAGTATTCCGTTGGACTAAAGAGTTCATTACAGATTGTGTGTTTCACAACATTTTTACGTTATGAAAACTAATTCAAAATGTCCTTACCAGGTATCCAGGTGTTCCCATTACGAGATACTACCATTATCCAGGTGTTCCTATTACGAGATGAAAGCAGTAGGTACCACATTGTAACACCTTTAATAAACATTTTTGCCGACTTTGCTTTATTATTAGATTCGAGGAGAGCATTTTAGATTCCAGCTTTGCTTTACCTTCTAAGTGACTTCAAAACTGAATGGAAACGTAGTATAAAACAAACAACCTTTTGTTTTAGAATAAAGCAAATGTAGCAGAATAAAATAAATTCTAAGAAAACAATAAAGATCACAAAGTTGTGTTAAATTGTATAATGTTTTAATAATTTCAAGAGAAATAAGCTGTTTGCTTTTTTTCATTTAGAAT